GCTTGTCTGAATCAGAAATGGTGGTGAAACAGTAAAAGAGGCTTTATGCTTTAACTGCCCTTAAAAATATCAGCAAGAGGTATTTCTTTGACACAACAATTATTGACTCAAGGTCCACTTACAGGCTTTGTCCAGACATTGTAATCACATCTCAGCAGATAGAGTTGAGAGATCTAGAACAAGCTAGCAGATGTGGCTGCTATTAAATGGAAAGAGCTAGTAAGTGGAGTGGACCTTATATTAACATTGTTTTGTCAAATGATTATTTTCAAGGTCAAGAATGAATCTTAATGTGATCATTGTTGTTTTCTATATCCCTCTTAAAAGCTGAATAATCATCTCTTTTAGCCTCTTTGCAGCAGTGGAAGTCCAAAACAAGCCTTAAAGTTTATAGCTAATATGTTAGCGATCACATGACGACATTAGCATTAATTACAAGTGTGTATTTTTTTTATCTCCAACAACAGAAAAATGTATCTTTAGCTTGCTAGCTATTTTACCAGTTGCCTTTTGGTGCAGTCTGCCATTTGGTGTTAGGCAGGTAGCTATAACGGTGACAGTTTCTTTTTTTTTGTATTCTTATTCAAGCCTGTCATGTGTCTGCATTAGCATGCTGTGTGGACTGGGAGGAGCTCACCCAAAATTCATTTATGAGATCTCATGTAAACATCAACATGCAAAAGGTTTATTTTGAGCCACTTTTGCATGCAGGAAAGCTGCGTGTGGAGCAATTGAGGGGAGGGAAAGACTTTAGAATGCAAACAAGGCAAAGCCCCATATTTTCACACTATTATTTCCCAGAACTGAATAACATTATAGAATCCTTTCTGTATTGTGGCATCTGTCCTCCAGCCTTTTCCCTTATTTGTTTATGATTGAAAAGGTCATAGAAGTTTTTTATACTAGAGAATAACACAAAACCAAGCACTTGCATCAGAGCTGAAGTAATCTCTATATTGTTTACACATCTGAACAGAGTGTACTGTGGAGTGTGTATTCTCCATATTGTAATGTATACTTGTGGAATACACACGTCCTGTAAGCATGCTAAATCATATGATTTTCCTGTAACCCCCCATTCACCAGATATACATCAGCCAATTATAAAGTTGTCTACTACTCTATTCCAGCTGAGTTGCATTTCCAGGGAGTGAGCAAACTGTTAATTGGAATTTGTAGTTCAGACAGCATTTGAGTGCATTTGATTGGATTGGTCAGAATGTGACTCACGTATGTGGCATTATATCTGCCTACTGTGATTGATGAACTGGTGTTAGTGGGTCTGCCCACCATGGATGCTGTTACCTAAGCAAGTGCTGACAAATGACTCGCTGGCATGAGAGACCAGAAACAGTTTTCTCTATAGTGACATACTGAGAAGGACATTGAGTGTGAGAGCACTGTGCATTGTCATTCTCACTGCTGTTTGACGACATGATGGGCACAGAGATTGTCATGCCAAAGGCCATCTCTAAACCTAATGTAAGCCTCTGTGTGCAGCGCAGGGACAGTACTTTCTCTGCACTTACATAACAACTTTTATCGACCTGTTGGCGACAGAGGCATCGCAAGAATTGGGCTTCTGCACTTGTAGTGGCCTGTAATTAAAAAACACAGTGGGTATAGATATATACTAACGGCAACTTCCTGGCCAGGGTAGATTTCATAGTGGAAGACTGATGAGAAAATCTGAAATGTAATACTTACCTTTTCTAGATTGAATTGTTTTGACTTTCATGTTATTTAGATGACAATACAAAACAAAACAATTGAGTGGATTAGAACAATTGAGCGTGAGTGGTTGTTTGTCTATGTGTGGCCCTGCGATGGACTGGTGACCTGTCCAGGGTGTACCCCACCTTTCGCCCAATGTCAGCTGGGATTGGCTCCAGCCCCCCGCAACCCTGTACGCAGGATAAGCGGTTGACGATGGATGGATGGATAATGCAATATACCTTAATCACAACAGTCATTAGTTTTGTCCTCTAAGATACTTCTAGTCTTTATGTCAAATCTTCTTGTTGTTTATAAAAGTGTGTAACACATGTGAGAAGTAACGGCCCTGCGATGGACCGGCAATCTGTCCAGGGTGTACCCCACGTTTCACCCGATGTCAGCTGGGATTGGCTCCAGCCCCCTGCGACCCTGTACGCAGGATAAGTGGTTGACGATGGATGTATAGAAGTAATATTGCTTTATTATTACCATATATATATATATGGTAATAATAAAGCAATATATATATACCATTATTATCTTATACTGTTATAATAATGGTAGTATAACAGAAAGGGCAGGAGATGTAAATGCTATATCAACCAGTGTATTGTTAATGCACTAACCTTACTTCAAATTATTTTTAGTTTCCTTATAAATACCTAATACTTTCTGATAGATAATGTTATGATAATGATATTAGTATTTTTTTTTATTACAGAACACTTTGCTTTGCTATCTTGTGTCTAAAAATATTACATGAAAAACTAAGTTGGTCGGTCATAATTTTTTCCGTGAGTTGCATGTTGTGCAGGTATTCCTTTCAGGCTGAACCTATCCCCAACAAACTTCACCATTAAGGTAGTGTAGACTTTAGCCTGAGAGGCAAAAACCATAGCAAAAAACTTGGCAAGTCAATTGCCCTGAATGCTCAACAATCATTGAAGTTGATGCAGATGATTTTTTTCAGACCTCCCTTCCCTTGTCTTGACTGTGCTGGCAGGACAGTAAGATGACAATTTTCAAAGAGAATTTAGTAAGAGAAACAACATAAAAAAAAGTGAGAGGGGCATGCCCCTCCCCCGATTCTGAGTGGAAATTACGCCCTTGAGTAGGACTAACAATGAAAGACTGGGCATTTTGTTTGTTATGAGATAAGATAAGATAAGAACACTTTATTGTCCATTAGATTTAAATAAGATGGAAATTTGTCTTCAGCCATCTGGCAAAACAGTATAAAAGAGACTGCTGTTCAGAATAGTCACAGCAGAGGGCACAAATGATTTCTTGTACATTTTCATTTTTCCCTGGCTAGTGGGACCTTGAGCCTCCTGTCAGATGGCAACGGCGGGAATAACAGAATCCACACAGAAGTTGAGATAAGTAGTTAACAGTTCGGGGTTATTATAAGAGACCTGGTCACTGAGCAATAAGTACCCTTCAGCTCTTCAACTGAGTCCGTTGTCCAAGCCTGAATGTGTTTACCAGCTTTTTAGTTGCTGACGGTACTTCCAGAGTCTTATTAATTCTCATTGGACAGGTCACAAATTGCTCCAAATTTGGGACACTGGTGGAAATGAGTCTGTTACAATCACCCAATAAGAAGACTGGATCGTCAGCAGAGTAGTGCATAATAGTGCATAATCTGGGCCAGGCACGTAACAGCAAACATTGATATAAAACAAACAAACAAACAAAACAAACAGATGAGCCAGCTTCCTAGATCAGCGGCTAGGGAGGATAACTGACGGCTCAGTTATCCTGTACTCGGCAGGGCTCCAGACTACCTTTCTGCATTGGCTGCACTGGTGCACCTAAATGTTTTATTTCGAAAATTTAGTTGTCACCAAACATTTTCACAACACCTTCAGCATCACAACATTATATTTTACCCTTCTCTCATTTCCCATACACATTCATAGTTAAAGGTAAATGTTTATTTTTGTTTGAATCTGGGGTGTGATGGTGCAATGGATAAGACTACACCTTTGGTGTGATAGACCTGGGTTTGATCCCCCACTGTGACCTCTGACATATATAGCAATTGTAAGTCACTTATAAAAGCGTCAGCTAAATATAAATGAATCACAGCACAAATAAACTTCATTATTGTAAGAGGACATCAGAGCAAGGTTTGGGAAGGCTCACAGTGCTAATGCTAGGCTCCAGCCCATTTGGAGTCACAGAAGTACAGCCTAAGAACAAAGGTCAGACTATAGAACAGCAACATAAAACCAGTGCTGTTGTGTGGCTCGAAGGCAAGTGACAACATGTGACATGAAAAAGGTCGATGCCTTCCAAAACCTGCCAAATCTTCTGGTCTGAAAGATCTCAAATGAACAACTATATGGATGACTAAGTCGAATTGTCGAAATGATGGCTAAGCCATGTCTTCAGAATGGCTAAGTACTTAATCCCAAAGGTTGCACTAGGATTCAATCAGGGAAAAGGAAACAAGGCGAACTGTGTAACCTAACGAAATGGACCTGACATGGGATGAAGCAGTCACACAGAGTATTACCTTTGGTTATAGACTTACCTCCTGAGAACAAATGCATGCAATAGCCTGCAGTATAATAGAAATATGTAGATTTACATGCATACATCCACAAGCAACTGTCTGCTACTGTACACTCTCCTAATGATGAGAGCGCTGTGCATCTGATATTACCTGGGGATTTCTTTGTAATTTTTCTGGGGACAGTGCCAGGATTTGTTAAAAAATGTTGGACCTCTAAGAAAAGAAAGAAGCTCATGGGAAATTAGTGCTTTCAGTCTGGCCGACTGAGCATAAGCGATGAGAATGAAGAGAGACAAATAGCAGAAATCTGAATGACGAGGCACACACAGACATGTGCTTGTATCATATTGCTTATTACATCAAGCTTAACCGCTACAAATTATTATTTGAGATATGGCATCATCAGTGGAAAACTGACAGTAGATGACACGTTTTAACATCCTTATCTGCAGGCACAGTTGTAATAATATGCTTTATATCTCAGATATGGTAGTCAGTCTTGATTGACTTGTCTGTCTTTATTCTGCACAATCAAAGAAGATACACACTGCAATTAAACACACACACACATACATTGTACCACTGGTTCAGACTTTTTTCTTTGGGCTGGCTATTGTTTGCAGGCCTTGACTGAAATGGAAGATACATTTGATGTTGTGGGAGATGTTGTTTGTGCTTTTCTGTTAAGTATCGAAAACCTAAAAGTGGAGCTCCTCTAACCTGCTTACATTGTCCCTAATCTCTAACCTTCTGTCATCTTCAGATCATGCTGCTAACTGATCCAGAGGTGGAGAGCAGTCTACTGATCAGCTCTGATGAAGGAGCTACCTACCAGAAGTACAGGCTGAACTTCTACATCCTCAGCCTGCTCTTCCACCCCGATCAGGAAGACTGGATTCTGGCCTACAGCCACGACCAAAAGGTTAGATAACAGGCAAGGCTAGTTTAGTGGTCGGTTGTTCAAAGGTATCAAAAGAAGCTAAGTCAGAGAAGTAACAACAGTCTGGGGATGCAGAGCCTCAGAGCAAGTTAGATAAATGTGAGATCCTGTTACACAAGAGTTTGGCTCAAACCACAGTCAGAGTTCATGAAGTTCATTTGGAAGAGAGGTGGATAAGCATGGATTGTATAGTTCAGGTAGCTCTAAATTCAGTGATACAGATTTTCCTTTTTCCCCAGCTAAAGAAAAAAAGGATGAAAAGTTTGGAAGTCATTTTATGTTTGACTTTCTACATAGAGCTTTAGTTTTTAAAAGATAAAACATCATAATATTCACTTACAAGTCGAAATGAAAAGATTGATCCTCAAAGTCAAACTTATGAGATGCAAATTTTGAGAAGCCAGTCAAAATGATGATTTTTAAGAATGTTAATAAAAAATAAAATCCTCACTTTAAAGAAGTCGAAATAACATTTTGATTTAAGATTCTTGATTAAAAACTAGCAAGTTTTGGGCAGAATACTAACTTAATATCATAGAAGACATTTAGTTTTGTCATTCCTAAAATTTGATTCTTCTATATATTCTGGATTTCTGCTTAACTTAAATGTTCAGTGTTTGAGTTTTAGTAGCATCTAGTGGTGAGGGTTGCGAATTGCAACCTACTGCTCAGTCTCCACTCACCCCTCCCTTTCCAAGCGCATAGGACAGATTTACTTCTCTTCTTACTTCCAATAAATTAGACAACTACTACTATTTCTTTTTCTTCCTTTGCTTTGTACGTATTCAACATAGTGACAAAACATGCTCTGTTGAGCAGTTTGTCCGTTTGGACAAATGTAAAAACATGGCGGTGCAACATGGCGACTTCCGCAGCTATGTAGACAGAAATGACTCCTTCTTAGGTAATAAAAAGAGTTCATTATGTAAAGTCTTTAAACACCACTGAAAACATAGTTATTTATATTATATTGTCAGTGTTGGGCAAGTTACTTCCAAATTATAATACATTATAGTTACTGTCATTTGAGAGTAATTAGTTGTATTACAATATTACTGTCTCAGAATTGTAATGCTTTACATTATGTTTGCGTTACTTACATGCTATTTAATGGGTGCATTATTCTGATGGTAAAATGTGCCTGCGTAGGTGGTTTCTAGTTATGTGCAGAGTTATATCCGCAGATCAGGTGGGTCATAAAAATTTACCTTCTGATTAATAGCGGGGGGGTGGGGGTTAAATAGGATGAATCATCAATCCATTAAAAAAGACCATGTTATTTACGCATTTACGCACGACGTACAACAGCATAACTTCATTGATTATTTGAATCCCCCGACACTCCGACAAGATCGGTCAGGATGAACTGACAGCAGCCTCTCTAATTCTGAAAATAATTTGTTAAAGATAACACACAGCCTATAGAAATCTATTTACGCGTGATCCATCAGGGGAGCTCCCCCCGTAGTTTGCACCCTGCCTACATACTCGACCATTGGATTCCTGCAACAGGAAATAACGTTACTTTTATACTCATGGATTTGTTTTTCTGGTGCCAAAATGTTTCTTTGTGTTGGTGAATTATTAAAAAAAGAAAACACCACTTTGTTAAAATGTTAAAATGCGATGTAAAATGCATTACTGAGATAGTAACATTTATAATATTACTGATTTTTTATATTACTGCGTTACAGCAAAAAACAATAGAATTGTACATTACTCCCAACACTGTATATTGTATATGTGCCATGTCTATCCTCCTAAATATTACACACTGGTCCTTTAAAGGAGTTTTTTAGTGTCACCGCTGTGTTCAGTGATAATTAACTCAAAAGCACTCTAGGGACTGAGGACTTTTGCAATACAAGACTTTTGGGTGGTGATTTTTATTTAAACTTCTTTTCAGTTAAACTAAAAATCCCTTTAAAACTCTTAAGCTTCTTAGCTGTAACAGTCACCTGGTTCGGGTGTATTGAAAGATGAACAAAACTTAGTTTTCTTTCCAAAACACAAATGCTTCACCCCATCTTACACATAAAGAGGTGGACTAGGATAATATGCTGTAAGAATGAATGGTTTTGTATGAACTATTTTGTAAAATGAAAAAGGGTTATAATAGGTATCAATAGCGTCATTTTGGTGTCCTTACTGACAGTCGTATTAGTGCTCAGTCAAATGAGACACAGTGCAAATGGCTTTTAAATAAATAATCATCTAATGTAGGAGTCGAAGTGCTGGCAAAAATAATGGTACGTATGAACTACTGAGACAGGGAGAGAAAGAAAAGAGAGAGGTCAAATTTATAGATATTTTAAAATAACTGCTTGCATTAATAAAGTGCTTTTCTTGCAGCTTAGCCCATTTGGGTCTAATGTTTCAGTTGTGATGAATAATAAAGGCACTCTCCTTTGCTAAGGAGGCGTGCGGATGTGTGGATGTACAGAGCATGTGAGCATGCCTCTGCCTCTGAGCCAGCTTTCCCTTCTGGAACTAACATCACACTTTCATTGTGCTGCGAGTATAATCCCTCATACACACACACACACACACACACACACACACACACACACACACACACACACACACACACACCATAACCACATAGTCCTACAATTCGCTGTGTGATGATTCTGAGATGCCTGAAACCCATAAACACCATCACATTTTAAATTCATTTTCAAGTTGTGTTTTATAGCCATTTTTCACTTCACTTCAGCTGTGACTCCAACCTACTGTAAATGACTCAGACTAAATGCATTTCATGAGTATCTGGGCTGGGCAAACCACTTTTAAATGATAATCATAAACTAATGATCTAATGGTGTTTATGGGTTTAAGGAATCAGTTTCTACATCATTTTATCTATTAAAAGAATTATGGATGAAATCATTTAGACTTTTTGGTTCAAGACTAGTGCTGCCAAAAAAATGGATAAACAACTCTTTTGCACAAAGTCTTTTGCGAGTTCAGTACTGGGTCTATCCTGGTACGTACTGCCTCCAGGAAATAGCCGTACACTTGCACTCTCAGTCTGACACTGACAAAAGCTCTACCCTTCTCCCGCCTACTTGGCTTTCATATGTCACCAAACAAACTGCCACTGATCAAAATGGAAGCACTGTGCCCCTAAACAGTGAATAAAAGTCACTCATGCACTGTAAGACAAAGGGTGCAGGTGGTGAATGACGGACACATTTTCCCCCTGGGGCTTACTGTATGTGCCCGCTGCTGAGACGGTTCAGTACAAGCCTGCAAACTCGACTTGACCTGGCTTGGCTGCTGCTGATAGAGCTCTCGTACATACTCTCTGCCCTTGAGACTTCCCGTACATGCTGTACTCCAGTCCGTATGCCGAATAATAACAAAGAGGCAGCTTGGGGGCTTTGGGGCTTGCCAGATTCGTTCATTTACCGGAGTGAGACAGTAGACTGAGTGCTTGTTAGCCTGTTAGCCTGCGGATACTGTTCCTGCCTACCAGCGACCTTTGGCGAGACTCGCTGCAGCACTTTGGTTGATAGTTACACACTTTTTAGTGCCTGTTAGTGTTAAAAATAGTTTTGCATTTTAATTTGAATACTTTTATTGGATCCATGTCATTTCTCTTTTTTTTTTATTTACTAACGCACACGCAACATTAACACAATTATCACAGTAAGTAAAGTAAAGCACTTTCTGATTATATATATCAGGAGCTTTATGTTGTCTACAGCTTAAAATTTTGGAAGGATGCTGAAGCATACATAACTTTATTTCCACTCAATATCAGCATATTATGTTACTGTGTCCTGCACTCTTGCAGGCTTAAAGGTGAACAACACGAAAACTCAAAATACTCAAAGAGATATATTTTGAGGTCTGGACCCGGGCAGCACAACACTCAAACTTCCCGGCATTAATCAAGATAGGGTCAAAAAATAACAAGGCAAAAGTCAGCAAATAATAATAAATAATATGCAACAAGAATATTGTGTCTTTTTTTCACACAATGCATGAGCAGAAATGACTGTAAGTGAATATTTGGAGGAATTTTCACTGAAACTGTGGCTCACTAACAGATTTACATCACAGTCCCATCCCTTACATGACGTTGTGGTAGAGCAGAGAAACTCCTTTAGCAACAGAATACGTGAGGAGCTACGGGAGATTTCTTTCTGCCTGCCGCAATGAGACCGTACAGCTCCTCTTCGGTCTGGCTCAATCAGGGTGATCGCTCTCCCACCTGCTCTCTCACCCGTACCCTAACTCGCACGCATCATCTCCACCCCGAAACTGCTTCTCTTTCAATTTCCTCACCTCCTTTTGGCAGTGCTGCTGCATTTGTTGATTGAGCGGCCTTTGGAGGTTGTAAAGGCTGCTCTGACCCTTCCACCCCCCTCATCTCCCCCCGTCTCCTGCTCTCTGCCTCTTCGCTGTCACTTGCTTGGCTACATACTAACTTGCTGTGGGAGGATAATTAGTCAGAGTGATTTCTTGCACACAAAACCCCACCCCCAGCCCCACCTCACCCTCTTTCACTTGCATCTGCTTAGCACAGCTTGGCATGGAAGTCATGTAACTCTGATCAGCCATGTTGTTTGTCTCTCCCTGTTTCTCCATGAGAAAATACACATACCAGATGCAACAGTCACAGTGAATATATAGTTTACATATGCCCGTTATGGAGCGATCCAACGAAGCCGACACAATGTAGGACAATATGTTTCAGATAATGTCAGAACTGCAAGGTCATCCCTCGCTGTACTTTACTGTGATGCTCAGAGGTGCAGGAAAATATCTGTCTAATTTGTATTTAAGCGATAATGAGCGATATATTAAAGTTAGCAGTAACTCTTACCTTTGTCAGTGAAATATACCAAAGCAACAAATAACAAATTCAAAGAATAATTAGCAAAATAAAACAATTATTGATTTGACAGCAGCGATAATCTGTATGGGATAAACAGTGGATCAGTTCTCAGGGGTGTTTTTAAATGCAGGCCTATACTTCACCCTTCTGGATAGAGTAAAACAACACAATTAAAAAATAAATTAATATAAACAGAGTCACATTTTTGTTATCTGCTAATAAATGATTGTTTACACATTATGCATGGTTGCTCATGCTTAAAATTGAAAAAGTCCAACTTGAACCCCTATAATAAGTTTTATGCCTCATTAAATTCCAGCTGTAAGCTATAGAGTAAACGGATTTGTCATTCTGCTTTGTCAGAGAATGCAGGTGTGTTTGGAGACAAAAGAACTTAGCAGAATATGTTGGTGGAATGCAAACTTTAAACTGTTTATTTGGGGCACCGTGACCACCTTTGCTGCACGTCATTGCTGATTTTTCTCTCTGGTTTTGGTACTCATTGTAAACATTGTAATTATTTGGGCGAAAAACTCCATCACAAGCTAAAAATCACTCACAGTTGACACATTATCACGTCATGAAGTTGCAAACATGTCAGAAACGTGTTACACATCCAGCAGAAACACAGCAACATCAGCATTCATTTGGAGTCTTTTTGTGGCAAATTTACATACAGTATGTGAAAGTCCACTATCAATGCTCTACTCCTGAGAAATATTACTTTCTTCTTTAGCCACTAAATGCTCCACAGTGTTCAACAGCTATTCGCTGACTGAACAAGTAGCTTATAGTACGTTTATAGGGGCTTTTTTGGCTAAAAACTGCCTGCTGCATCTGGAAAGGAGGTTGATGAAAGCAACGAGAGCTGTAACGGAGTGAGCTGGGGGGCAGAGGGTGCGGCTTCCCCGGGCCAACGGTTCTTTCCAGTTACAAAGGGGCCCACCTGGGACCCAATCTCCTGGTCTGAACGTGCATTTTTGTTGTTCAGTTGAAAATTATGAATAAAGTTTGTTTGTGTATCTTGATTGTGGAAAAAAAGTCAGACTCAGACCACATCTGTCATCTGCAGTGACGATCCCCCACCGCTTCCAAGAGGTCCTTGCAGCAAACAGCACCAGCGTGGACACTGTGGCCTATTTATATAGTCGTTAATTCCACCCCGTTAGTATCACATTGACAGGGCCCCCGCCACTCTAAGCTTTGCTTTCACACCTTTTCTTTGAGCTGATCGAACACTGGTGCGGACCTAACAACCGCACCGAAGACAGCTTAAAGAGTGGTCTCTTCAAAGTGGACTCTGCTGCAGAGACATGACATTTTAGCATTTTTTTGTACTATTAATATATCTAACTGATGATCATGAAATCTTGTATTCATCTGTCATAATACAAATAATTTAGTAACCACATATGCACGTCAGCATGTATGCATTAAACTAAAACATTTACAGAAAGAGACTCAGATATTAAGCCCTTCTGTAAAACTAGTTAGGTCCAAGGGTAAAGTGTATTGTTGTGGTAGGATTATAACGAAGAACAGGGGTGCATGTTCAACATTAGCCAGGGGCAGTGCATAATTTGTAAATTAAAACCGAACTACAGGTGTGAAAGCAGTTGGGTGATGTTAAAGACCTTGCGCTCCTCCTCCTTCCGTTTGAGGACGCCCCACAGACGCTCAATAGGGTTCAGGTCTGGAGACATGCTTGGATAATCCATTACCTTTACCCCCAGCTACTTTAGCAAGGCAGTGGTCGTCTTGGAGGTGTGTTTGGGGTCGTTATCATGTTGGAATACTGCCCTGCGGCCCAGTCTCCATGCTCTGCTTCAGTATGTCACAGTACATGTTAGCATTCACGGTTCCCTCAATGAACTGTAGCTCCTCAGTGCCGGCAGCACTCATGCAGCCCCAGACCAGGACACTCCCACCACCATGCTTGACTGTCCCCTCAAAATAACACATCACACAGCCATTAATGTCTAAACCGCTGGCAACAAAAGTGACTCATCAAATAATCAAATATTTACAAAAATGTGGGGTGTACTCACTTTTGTGAGATACTGTACTTTAATGTATTTTAATATGTTTTGTCATTTGGGTGAAACAACCCTTTAACATTCACTTAATTCATTCATTTAGTTAAATAATTCAACTTAAATTAGCTGAAGCAGGGACCTCTGAAATCTGAGTGGAACAATAATGGGAACATACTTGAACACTTGTGGGTTCTTATTTGTATGGACAGGTAGGTAGTTCCATTACACAGAGATGTTACATGCAATCTCCACTCTCTCTTTCTCTGTAGCATGGTAAAGTCTCAGAAATCCAATGATTTACTAGTGAACAATGGCTGTATTGAGACCACCCGCCATGCTTCGGTTCCTCTCCTCATCGTCCCGTTCACAAGCTTGTTACAACAAGGTGCATTTCTCTAGTACAGGAAAAGCTACACCCTGCACATGGTCCCATTCTTAATAGGTGTTCATTGTGTGTTTGTGTGTGTGTGTGTGTGGCAAAAATCTCTGCAAGGTTTCTGCAGTAATGGGTAGTTGTGTGCGGAGGCACACACTGCTTGCATCCGTAAATGTCCTTAAGCAATGTTATTCCTCTGCAGTGTTTGAATCTTATGCAAATTGTAATCTCATTTAGTGGATTCAAATAAAGAACTTGTTCGTACAGTTTTTGTGTGTGTGTGTGTGTCTGTGAAGATTCTCAGTCATCCAGGTCATTGTGCGTGTATGTGTGTGTGTGTGTGTGTGTGTGATACTGTGAGGGAATTCATCTGCCACCCGTCCTTACACTGCTGCTATTAAAAGGATCACTGAGGAACTAAGTAAATCAATGTGTGAAAACAAACCCCCTGAAAAATCCTGTGCAAGTGCACATCATTTCGAGGGCAAACACTGGATTTGATAATAGGATGGCTTGTGTCATCCAAAATGGTAAATGTGATTGGCTCTTAAGACGGTATGTGAATAAATACTCACCTGGTGCCTGGTTGTCTTACTACAGCTATACAGCTCGGTGGAGTTTGGGAGGAGGTGGCAGCTGGTACATGAGAGAGTGGCTCCCAATCGTTTCTACTGGTGAGTACCGAAATTTGGACAATGTTCTTCATAAAAAAATACGAACTTCATCTAAAATCACCCACAATTCAGCATTGGTTTTTGCTCTATTAACGCCAAGGCTAAATAAAAAAAAAAAACTATTTGTGATTTATTAATAGTATGATATGGAATAGCATTTACCTAGCTATTATTTTTTATAAATTCAACTTGTCTATATTGATGACCTACATAGTATGAAACATGGTAAAGCCCAAGCATATTTTAATGTATGTTATTCCTAAATGAAAATAGATGGATTACATTATGCTATTTTTTATGTTTTAGTCCTTTTTTCAAAATCAAGGTAGGAAAAAAGTAAACTTTTAAATAACCCCAGTTTATATTCTACAGAAAATGTTATATATACATATACACATATATACAACAAAAACTACAACCTATTAGGTATGAATGAAAATTAATAATGAAAATGACTTAATTCAATTGCAATTTATCAATATAAAACTTATTAATCATTCAGCCCTACATCTGATTAATTTGGGTCATTTCCAGATGTATAGGAAAACTATCCAACATGTACTTCCTGGCCACAAACACACTGCCACATTGTTGTTACAAAACAACAATTTCCTGAAAGCTATCAGCAAAACTAATGTTGACCTCAAAGCCAAATGAAGAGCAGTTTTGACATTGTAAATGTTCTGGACAGACTACGTCATTGCCTCTCCACAAAATGAGGGGCAGATGAGCCAGGGAGGTTTTTAAGATTTTCATTATTCATGTGTCTGACATGCCTGATCTTCTTCTGTGGCAGACAGTTACATTATGTGACTGGCAATATTCAGCTGTGGAGAGAGGCTTCAAAATCAATTCTGGGAGATGAAATAAACCATTTGAAGATTGAAATAATCTAATGGTTCCCCAACCGCAAGTCTTTTCAAGCCAAATTATGATATTATGTGACTATCTGGAATTATTGCATGATCATTGTTTAAAGTCTTTCAGATGAGGACTTAAACTAAACTTTAACGGTTACATTTAACATTATTGTCCCCTGGTTACCTATCTTTTCCTGAAGTAAATGTTCTCACCACCACCACACAGATGCTGTCTAACTTAATGGTAGCATGTCTGGCCTCTATAAAGTAACTAACACGTAACAAAAAGCTTGCACCTCAACAAGCTGCGGCGGAACTGTCAGGGTAGTAACAAGCTGGGCAGCCAGGAGTGAAAGGAGCCTCGAGGGCTGATGCTGCAGAAGCTGTCAGAGTTCTATTTTGGGACGCACACTGTGCGGTAGGTGTGGTGGTAGCCCTGGGTAATGAGGCTGCAGCGGCAGCTTATGTCTGCTGTGCATGTGGCCACCAAACATGCAAGGAAGAGTTGTAAGCTAATTTGCGATTTGGTGAACCTGGGCAGTGCTCACTCACAAAGCACTTGAACAAACAACAAACCCTTGAGCAAACTTTGAACAAACAGCACTCTAAATTCCACCACATTCAGCGATAAGCAGTTTGTGAGCTTAGCGGGTGCAGCCATCAAATGTTTTGCATATGACATTAAAAATCTCTACAGAAACATCTGGAGCTGCTTGGATGTGATATTTTTGCAAGGCAACAGCTCCATCTCATGACTAAGTCCTATACCAAGTCTCAGAGACCACACAGCGGTCCAAACCCGTGTTATACATACACAGAGACACAATGATAGGCCGTCGGCTTTCTGATCTTTGTCTCCCATCACAAAGGGTCGAAAATATACAAGTTTAAACCACCATATAGCTCCACTAACACAGAGAGTTATTCTGTGCCTGCCTCACACTGTTCTGGGGTACCTGAATGGATTATTAGGTGAAAATGTAAATGCGGTTTGGATAAGAAGGCTAACCTATTCACAGTTGTGTTTCATCTGGGAAATCACCAATACTCCCAATAAGTATATGATTAGAAGCTGTGGGGCTCTGACTGTCTCTAACTGTCTCTGCTTCTCAGTCCCCTCACACAGTCCTCTGTTATTTCTTTTTCCATTTATGTGTGGGCAACCTGTCGACACATTCTCTCTTTCTCTTCCCCATCTCTCTCCACCTCCCTGTTCTCTCTCCCTCCATGTGTGTGCTGGCTTTGCTTCTCCTCTGATCCCCCAGTCTTTTTAATACATATTTAATGCCCTAATGATTATATGCTATTCCATCTGCAGGCATCCCTACTGTAGTGAGAAAATCAATGGCCTTTCCTCTCCTAATGATGTCAGGAAACGTCTTTCTCCATCTTCCTTGGGGGGGGGGGGGGGGGGGGGGGGTCTTCTGTGGGGGCTCTAAACATTTAGCTCACACGGTAAACCTGAGGTCCTTTTTCCTTACACTTTCAACTGCCATCCTCAATGTAGACAAAGTCACGGTAATTCCTGTGGCCAAGCACTTGACTTAACCTCGCTGTTGTTATAATTTTGTCTGACTTCGAAGCATGAGATCTTTCAGGTCAGACAGCAGCTAGCAGCAGTAGGTGGCATCTGCCCAAAGGCAAAAGACCAATGGCGATGTTCCTGAAACACATTTGTCTGCCTTTCAGGTCGAAAATGGGTTTGGACAAAGAGCCGGGCTTAATTCACCTGGAAACCAGCATCTCTGAAGGACGTGAGTAATTGAATTCGGAGTTCAGCGCTCCATTTTCTCGTGTCTTTGTACTGTACCGTGAGCATTGTGCGAAAGTAGAGAGGCATTTGGAGTTGTGTGGACAATTCTGCTGAAGGGTAATGCAAAGGGACAGTGGAAATGGCTGAGTCTGGGGACACACAATGACAATGAAGAGAAAAGTAATGCATATATTAGAATGCTTTTAAAAGCAAGTGATTTAGCTCAGTGGCGCTCTCGTAGGTAACATTATAGAGAAATATCACTCATCCTTCTGAATGACAATGAACACTGGGATATTGTAGGTTGATATATTGGATTTGACTTAAGTTGCTTACTGAGTCTAGTGTCAGAATCCTTAAAAAAAGTATTCTTTTAGTTTTTTCTCCATAATTTCCCCATTTCATTTTCTATATTAGTGTCTGCCCAAACTTACTTTTCAAGTACATCATAACAAATATATAATCTTTGATGAAATTAAAATTTAAAGGGGAACTCTTCTGATTTCACACTGAAAGATCAATTTCTAGTCATGGTGAATACTACTCTACCCTGTAAAAACAGTCATATAATGATGATGTAAGGGAATTATCTCGACTTGAAGTTACAACCTAAGGGAAATGGAGTTTGAAAGGCCAGGGTGTTAACCAGACAGGAAGTGTCTAAAACCTAAATTCTATTGGTTGCATCATTATTATTATTATTATTATTATCTTTATTATTATTATTATCATCTTTATTATTATTATTATTATCATTATTATCATTATTATTATTATTATTATTATTATTATATATTATTATTATTATTATTATTATTATTATTATTATTATTTTGGGAAATGTAGGATCCAACGCTTTTAAAGCTTGACCCATACTGACTGAAAGTCAAGATATCTCAGCCTCTGCTGCGTCAAATTTTATCGTTAAAAAAAAATCGGTTTCTAGCAACACAGAATTGTTGGAGTACCCCTTTAGTGCTTGATAAATCCCCTATTCTTTCCCTCTCAGTTAGTTTTCAAAAAGCCTTCAAAGTAACAGTGAGACCTTTCTGTCAGAACACTCTCTTTGAGGCCAACACAAAAGAGAAAAGCCAATCATACAACCACACATAGCAAACATCAGTCCGGTCATGCAGCCAGAGACTATCACTATTGATCATGCGTGCGTGGAGGAATCCGACACATATTTGGCAGAGGCTAACATATGGAGACAGGCTCTCTCCTAGCGCCGCGATTGAAGGCAAAGAAAGCAATTGGCCTCTCTGGTCATCTGTCTTCCCTTCCGCCCGGTACCTCCCTTACTGGGACCACTTTATTGACACGAGTAATGTAGGAAGCCAAAAGAGGCTGCTTGGCTCTGGGTGAAGGCTGCCTTTCTTCATTGGCTAATACCAATGCTGATGCCATGGCTTGACGCGTGTGTATGTGTGTGTGTCTTTGTGTGTGTGTGGGGGAGCAGAGGCGCTGTATGTCACCTGCAAGCTCCAGAACTGCACAGATGCCAACAAGGGCAAACCATTCCCCGGATACATTGACCCCAATTCTCTGGTGGTGCAAGATGAGTATGTGTTTGTCCAGGTAGGTAATTGTCCAGTTTGCTCAGTGAAAAACATTAGAGCAGCGTATGAGGCAGAAAGTGCAAGGATTTTGTAGGAAATTTTCCAAGGTCATTCTTAGAGAGTTGTTATCAGGGCTGCTTTATGTGTCCCTAAGGTGATGAAAAATGCTTTATCTGTTTTTTTCTGTCTCTATAATGTTTTCACTCAACGGTTTCATCACCATAAGGTGTCAACCGCAGGGAGGCCAATCTACTATGTGTCTGCTAAAAGAGATGTCTTTACACCCATGAAGTTGCCCAAGTACACCCTGCCCAAGGTAACAACCACCTCCTGATTAAAATGAAATGAACATGGACAGATACTTATGAGATCTTGATAATTAACACATAATTATTTGATCATTGGTAAGATTCCGTAACTGATCATGGGATATAAGAATATATGAGACAAATTTCAAATTTAGTTGTAGTTTAATGCTGCACACCTTTGAAGTTCTCAAATTGCATTCAAAGGCATATAATATGCTTCCAGCTCTGTTTGTTATGTGGGTTAAATTTGCAGTATAGCACCTGTTCATTGTTGGCCCTGCGTGACATTCTCCTTGTTATTTATGGGCAAATCAAGGCCAGAAGTAACCCTCACAGTGTTTCAGGAATTGTTATTCCGCGCTGCTCCGTGTGCGCATGGCCTAGCTTGTCACGTCCCCATTGACAATTAAACATGTTTTATTCAATCGTGCCCTAGGCGCCCCGGTTGCTGACGGCTCACTGCAAGGTGTTATTGGCACAGTCAGAGGTAGATGAAGCACACAGCCAAACAGCATGGCCTCTGATGCATAATCTCTGCCCAGCAAGCCTGACATAGTGTCAATGATCGTAGTATCCTCTAAGTTAAAATACGCGAATACAGAAGAGGAAGCAACTCTGATGATTGAATATGATTAAACCCAGCTGGAGTGTGAGAAAATGATTCAATCTAAAAGTTTGTGTGTTTCTCATTGAGACATAAGAGATCGTGTTTTTGATTGTTAGGAGCAAATTTAGGCTTTCACAAATGTCAACTGTAAATGAGAGTGTATTCAGGTAAGCTGCTTATTTATTCCATTTATTCACATTAACTTCATTTCAATCTTAGAATAAGTGAATGTAAATGTTCTAGCCAAATGTTCGAGGAGTATTTCATGAGCTTTTTTGCCTTTTATTCAAAATAACATATATATTATACATATATTGTGTTGAAAACTACAATTCACTATAGCATGAACATATGACAGGGCATAGCTGCCACCGGCACAACTAAACATTCTGCTCAGCTTCTTGTTAAAACACGAACCTTTCTCATTTTAATGAGGTTCTTTTCATGTCATAACAATATATCTTTCATGTTGTAATGACGTTATAATCCTATACTGGCGTTACCTTTGCCTCTTTGCCAGGACCTGCATGTGATTAGTACGGATGAAAACCGTGTGGTTGCAGCCGTACAGGAGTGGAACCAGAATGAAACCTACAACCTGTATGTGTCAGACACGTCGGGGGTATACTACACCCTGGCTTTGGAGAACGTGGTCAGCAGCATGGGCCCCGAGGGCAACGTCATGGTCGACCTCTATGAGGTAAACAAACATGGTAGCAAATGATGATATACAGTCTGTGCTTAAAGTAGCACAGTATCATGAGGTGCTGGAAGTAGATTGACTCTGCTTTAGTTTTGGATTGGTTTGCTGTAGATGAGGCCTACTCTCCCCAAAGTCTGCAGTATTCATTTTGGCCAATTTCTTCTTTTTAAATAACAGTATCAAATAAAGACCTGCTTGTTGAGTTCCTAGCCCACAGGTTTATTATGAGCACCAATCAATATTTAAGAGCTAGGAGGCAGAGATGATGAAATGTAACTTGTTTTGTCATTTTGGAAAAGAACCCTGCTGCTGTAGGCCTACAGTCTTCAGAGCACATTGTGTGAATACGAAGCAGTTTCAAAGTGCTGACATCAACAAAGGCAAGAGAGGATTGTGCCAGGGATATAGATTTTTGGGAGGCTGAGATTATTTCTTTCTTTGATGAATAACTGCAGATATTACTTCACAAAATGCACCTAATCCAAAAAGGGAAAATGCTGGCTAATGCTGAGGGTCTGTAACTGGAAGGTATGCAGGTATGATTTTTAAAGACATATAAGCACCAAACGTAGGAGGAATTTATATCTCTGGATCAAACATTTAAGCTGCTGATGATGCTGCTCATGTCTTGCTGTGGCCTCTGCGATAAAAATCAAATCCACTGTCTTGATTGGGGTCGCCACCCAAAAAGAAGGATATGCTAAATCTCTCCTCGAAGGGAGACTGAAGTATCTGTCAATTACTAAACTGGAATTTCATTGCCTGATGTGATTGTCACTGGCTCAGTTCAGTGTCCCTGAGCTACTCCTAGGGGCCTCCAACAAAGAGTGAGATTCATTTAAGGCACACATTGATAACTCAAAAGTCACCAGACAGTCTATCATTTCCCACTCAGTGCTTGGTGCTGCATTTGGTTTTGTTGGGAATACGTAAGAGGTAAGTGTGCGTGGCTGCATCGCCACATGGCATGTGAGTATTGCATTCATTTTCTGATGATGACTAATATCTTTACTGCAGGACATGTAGAGTTTGCTTCCATTTTCATTGGAGTTGTGAGCCGTTCTCTTTCTCATTTCCCAGGTAGCAGGACTAAAGGGGATGTTCCTAGCCAACAAAAGGACAGATAACCAAGTGAAGACGCACATCACCTACAACAGAGGCAGAGACTGGAGGTTACTGCAGGCACCGAGCAAAGACCTGAGGGGCAACAGCATCCACTGCGTGCTAGTGAGTGTCTGCGTATCTGCGAGTGTGCATACATGTTTTTATATGTGTGCGCTTCCATCAAAGAGAGGCCTTGACAGAAGTTGACTGATCCCAGCAGCAATGAGAGGCCGAGCTCAGAAAGAGCAGCGCCCGTCAAAGCTGAGTGCTCTGAGGCTGCTGAGCTGAAAGGTCAGCCATTTTGATTCAGTCCAATAAGCTGACCTCCCATTTAAGAAACACAGAGAGAAAGAGGTGAAAAGCAGACACTTCTTTTTAGCTTCCTTTCTTTCTGAAAGCCTCTGAAAGTTGCGTACTTCTCAGAGTCTAGTCGAGCTGAGTTTTCACTCAAAAGCCAAAGTTGGACATTTGAAGTCTAACAGTGTTTCTTTTTAACTACAGACGTGGTGCTTGCTCACTTCAATCACCCTCTTCTAATGTGTGCTTAAGTGAAAAAGTAGGCTGGCTAAGATGACAGTGTAGATTTGATGATTTGTGTCGTACTATACTGAAGCATACTTCAGCACATCATCTTCAAGGCGCATTAGCACATCCTCTCCTAATATGACTTTGTATCAAAAAGAATCACCCCTTTTTGATAAACCAATTAGCAATTCTGTGGCATGCCTCGCCTTCTACCCATATTATACAGTCATTTGCCAGGAAATGTCAGAGTTTTAATAAACCTCTAAACAGCCCGTCACAACATGGCCTGCACCACTGGCATTTTGCTGGGTCGTAATGAGAATTGTGCCGGTAAAGGTTAACCCAATCAAAATTAATGGTGAGACCAGCCAATGGGGAAATGGTGTTTGTGATCAAACTTATGACTTGGGAGGGTTGTGCATCCATCTCGATGCAACAGTCGTTTTATTTAGAAGTGTCTTTTTTTGAGGGTGATAGTTCTGCTAATTGAGTTTGTGATTTTCTGCAGCCGTACTGTTCATTACATCTTCATCTTCACGTGTCTGCAAATCCCTACACATCTGGAAACATAGCCAGCAGGGACTCAGCGCCGGGGATCATTGTCGCATCAGGTGGGTGAGAGGGAATCTCTTTTGAGTGACATGTTGTTTCTCTTTTCCCTTTCTTCTTGGAGCTTGAGGGGGTTTCTTTAAAAACCAAGTCCCTGTTGAAACTCCTTCTAATCTTTTTGCTTTATCTATTACAAAGCAGTTAATAAATAAACTCTGTGGATTGTTTGGATATAGTTCATGACTAATAGAGTAAAACCTCTATCAGGTGCTCACGGTGTTTTTATAGTCACCGGATTATAGCAGACTTGTATTTCACCATTAAAAATGAAATACACACATAATAATATATATATAAAATAATGTTAAGATAATACATCCAATTGAGATGTGAAATGAATTCTGTATTGTATGGTTTGCTTAAATTTCTTTCAGCACAAGATGACAAACGAGACTACCCATCTGTTTTTCTCCAAGTCATTTCTTATTGGCAATGGCATTCTTAATCGAGTATAGTTTACCTCCTAGTATATCTCTTTTTTGGAGTTTCTTTTCTTCATCCATCGAAGCATCAGATGGTGTTGTGCTAACTCAAAGAGACAAAGACCACAAAAATCACTTAGACAGACAAAGCCAAAAGAAATCTGCCTCTTTCAGTTAGTTGAAATCTTGGCACTCAACATTTCAGTGCAGTGGCGTTTGCAGTGTGGCACTGCAGTTCTCAGCGCTACGTTCTTCTGTACAATTGCATTTGGTTGATTGCAGGTTTTTGCTCTTTACTTCTGTTGTCAATGGTTTGTCCCTATTCAGCATGAGTATATGACTCCCACAGGCATCTGACAACATGAATGTGTCACCTCACCTTTGAACAGGGGCAAACAGAACAGAAAGCCAGAGCATCAAAACTATATAATCTTCATGTCTCAGAGCATCATTGTTCCTGAGAACGCAGGATAGAAAGCAAAGACTCATTGACTCAGTGGGGGGGGGGGCAAAGAAACGCAAGAATCAGCAGCCCCCCAGATGAATTCACACCTCAGTGATATTTACTCCCACATGGACCGGCACTGTCAATAACACAGCACACGCCTCGGGTGTCTGGAAGAGGCCAAGATTATGCTCAAAGTATTGGTGTCTGGACCTTTGTGAAAAATTGTGAATTAAAGTGGTTACAGGGATGTGGAAATAGAACAATCGACTGATTTTGTTTGTTTCTTAGTGTAGTAGTTGTTTTAGCTCCCACTTGAGAATGGTTGCATGGTCTCAAGGGAAAATTCAGCTCTTTCACATCCTGGGCTTACTGGAGACCTATTATATTGCTTTTCCAGGCCTATATTGTAGTTCTGTGACTCCTATGGCAGCTTTGCATGATTCAAAGTTCTTATACTGGCTCTTCATATAGGCCTTCACTTCAGCCCCTGTCTGAAACAAGCTGTAGATGCTCCTGTCTCTTTAAGACCCCCCCCTCAAAGCCCACTGTCTTCTGATTGGCCAAGACCCGAAGCATGGTACCAGGCTGTTGTTATTGTCACTGAGCGTAACGGACAGAGTGAAGCTTGATTTATACTCCTGTGCAGGGTCTACGTGCTTGCATTTATACTTGCTGTGCAGGCTAACTTTCGGTTTAGCCCTCCGCGTGAACGTGAATGGGGGTAAAATTGTATACGTGGGATTGTTATCGACCGAATGGATCACATTCTGATAGTGAAATGAGTAAAATTTACTTCAAAGCATGGGGAACTTCCTGTCGGCTTAGAGGCATTGCAGGGCCAAACAGCTGACCAATCACAGTTCTCACCTCAACGTGTAGTTACATTTTTGAGGACGTGCACGTCTTTTTGCTCATAGGGATTTTTTTTTTACAAACTTTAACCTCATTATTAGAAGCTTTGGCCATGTTTAACATTATGTGTGATACCACTTAATTCCTATCCGATCCAATACCAAGTAATACCCTGGCTGGTATTGCCGATACCAATACCAGTTCTTTTTACATATTTTATTTCTAGTTTAATAAAAAAAAAGTTTTTTCAAAAATTCCAAAAAGAAAAATAAAGTGTACATGGGACTTAATGAAGTGCACAGAACTTTGATTTGTGCAAAATCCCGTATTGCATATAGATATTTTGCAAACATATAATTTGCAATATGGTAATAATGGTGTGTGAACTAGATGTCTGCGTGTTGATAATATGCTCTCATAATTTTAATCCAACACATCTTTGTAGTAACGTCCATATTGATTCCACATTCCGATTTAAGAGCACATGAACACACACGGAAGACGGACTAATGACTTTACAGCTCTGGAAATAAGACCATCCAAGGAGCATGTGAATGCACCGTGAGCCGCTGGTTGCAATTCACAACCCTCACCACTAGATGCCACTAACACTAATATACTGAACTTTTTGATATAGAATAACTGATAGTTTAGCTCAGTACATTTTCCAAGTAGCTTGCCCCACACTGGTGCTATGTTGTATACACACCACACCTCTATATCACTGCAGCAAGGTGAGAACCTCAACCATTGGAGGTCAGCAAAATTGAGATTTTTGGGTAGTGTTATGCTACTCTCTAAATGCAGCGATTGTAAAGCAAACAATTTTTCTAGAAGAGTTCAGACAAGGGGACAACCATGGCTCTGAAACACTTTACGGTCTTGTGTTAAACCACCTGGCACCAATTACAGGCTAAATCAAAGCAATTACAGCCTGCACAGCATTAGGAAAGCTCGTCTTAATATGGTCAGAACTGCTGAAAGATGAATACAGTAATCTGAATTAATTGCTTAATTTAGGAGTATGGGCAAATGTCGCACTGCACAGTAGGACTTCTGGAGCACTGTAATTACAGCCTCAGTCTGCAGCTGCAGGCTGGAGTGTCCTGCTGTACAACCACTGCCCATCTAAAGGCTATAAATTTGGGATATTTATGATTTCAAATAGACTTCATTTCCTGTGTCCGCATTATGCAGTTTCTAACCTTAAACAGTTACTGATACTTTGTCTTCTATGTGTTCTGTGAATTGCTGCCTCACCTCCAGGCTCCATTGGTGCAGAGCTGACCACCAGCAATGTCAGTGTATTTATCACCTCGGATGCAGGAAACACGTGGAGACAGGTGAGGGTACTTTTTTTATTGTAATAATGTCCTGCTGTTAAAAAAGAGTTGGGGTGGTAAATTTATCAGACTGTCAAAATACAAAATACATTTTTTTTCATGTTTGCTAATGTAGTGGGCCCTATATAATTATATATACTATATATACGCTGTATACTGTATATTAACTTCTTAGGGAAATTACATTATTATTTCAGTCAGACTTTATTTATTAGTGTCAACTAGTCTGTCAAGAGACTGGCTTCGTGCAAATATACATGAACACTGCAGTAAATGTTATATTATTATTACAGACTCACACCTGATAATTCATTTTTCTAGTGATGTACCCACTTGAATCATAGCCACTCGACATATGGAGCGCCATGAACTGAATGACCTGTCATCCTCTCACTGAAAATATCCTCCTCCTCACTCACTCACTGTCCCTGATTTTATCATACAAGCTTTTAATCCTCATACTCTAGCCAGTGTTTTTAAGTTCGATCATCAATCATCAAATGAAATCTTGAGAGACATTTGATTCAGTCCCTGCATGTGCCGGTGGGAGGCCCTTACCTCACTTGATCCCGGCGTTGTTAATTTATGGGGGCTTGTTCCTAATTAAACACTGCAATGAAAAATAATTATTCGGAAGCTGATGTAGCAAGTTCTAACGCTGATGTATTCTGTCTGTGTTTGTGTGTGCGTGGTGTATTATTACTTTGTAATTCTGGCTTGAATGATACAGGGTGGGTGTGTGCAGACGTGTGTTGGACATACACACTGGTAACAAGCCACAGCAGAGTGAGCTCTTTTTTTGTCCCTGCAGATCTTCGACGAGGAGTATGCAGTGCTGTATCTCGACCAAGGAGGAGCCTTGGTCGCAATAAGACACACTCCGCTTCCCATCCGACACCTGTGGTGAGTAATTATGACACAGACGCCATTTGTCACAGCATGGCTAACTCCCTCGCAGGAAGCTCCAAGTCTTAGTTAAACAAAGGTGAATTAGTTTGTCTTCAAACTGGGGGACAATATCATCCTGGCTGAAAAACCCACGAGCCATGGAAAATTCTGCTTTGACAATTGTCAGTCAATTTCACCTTTCCATGTTTGAAGCCCTAATTAGTCTAGCTTCTACTAATCAGTGTTCACTGAGCAGAGCGCCTCAGCCCTGTGCGGAATATGAAGTAAAGTTGTTAGACAACTCCCAGGGTCATTAGCTTGTGTACACACTCGGAGGGTTAGCGTAGGCGCCTTCTGCAACAGCTGTCTGTGTTCCCAGGTTGAGCTTTGACGAAGGACGGCAGTGGAACAAGTACAGCTTCACCAACACTCCTCTGTTCGTGGACGGTGTGCTGGGAGAGCCTGGGGAGGAGACTCTCATCATGACGTGAGTGACAAACATTTGTCAACATTGAAACCTTACAATCACACAGAAAAAGCAGAGTAACAACAAAAAGCCTCTGCGTGGTTGTATGTATGCACACCGTGTGCATGCTCTCTGCCTCAACTCGAGCCACTGCTGCTTGCATCTACACCAAGCCTGCTCGATTCAGCATTCCTGACTGCCTGTTTTCCTTTTCATGAATAAAAAAAATTCTCCCAAGGTCTACCCAACATCAGAACTGGCTGTCTCCAGATTATGATCACAGGAGATCAATGCTTTGGCAGCCAGCGACAGCGTGACTGTCCATTTGAAGAATATGAAGGAAAATGATCAAAATGATAAAAAAAAAAAATCCCTGAGAAAACAGACAAGAAACTTTGCTTTAGAAAAGTTTTAACAACATTAAAAAGTGGGAAGAACAGTGAGTATGATTTGGTGTGTCCTCAGAAACCAGATTTATGAAGATTCCTTTTGTGTTCTTTCACATTTATTATTAGAATTGCCCAGAGCTGGTGTGCGTGCATATGGTATGACACAGCACTACCCCTTATTGCAGCAGAGACTTAGGACTTTGGAATGTGTTACCAAAGGGTTTCCACAGCCATTACATTAATGTTTCATGACACCTGCCATAAATGACAGACTGACATTTGGCTCTGTAGTCAGCTCTACAGGAGAGTGATAGGGCACAGCTGGAGAGACAGAGAGGGGGAGAGGGAATAGGAAAATGCACAGCAATAGTCTCAATAAGAAGAAAACCGAGGTGGGGGAAAAGGGGCAGTGTAAAGACAATCCTGGCAAGTTTGCACTGAGAATACGTTTTCGAGCACTGAGCCGGCAGACACGCCATTAGTTTTCATAAGACCATCATGCGGTGTTTTCTTATCAATTTGTACTAATTTTTACAGTAAGTGTCTGTCATGGCCGGGTGCCTCGGGAGCTAATTGACAGATTGATTGTGATAAATATGTTGTGGTATGAATGGTGAGTGGGTGCAGCGCAGAGAAACACACCCACTCAATTTGGCTGGAGATAGAATATTTTTCTGGTTAGTCTTGTAACCTTGGATTCAGAATATTGATCATGGTTAGCTTTCATAGGAAATAATGCTTTTCAGTAACAAAATGTCAGTTCAAACTTGCTATGGGCTACAAAAAAGATGCAAATTAGGTATTGTATTCAATCTTTAAGGGTAAAGCTTTTCCATATTTATTTACTGTTAACCCACACATGTAAAGCCCAAAATCAACAATTACTGCGCTAGTATACTCCATAAAATTCCTTGTCTTAAGGTCAAACAGCTGAGAAGAAAAACTAATCTCAACACTTCCTCAACTTTTAATTATTAGAAAAGGCTCAGTTATTTACTAAAACAGCTGGGCACTGTGGTTTGAAGCAAACATTAACCAAACAGGAGGAAATTGTGCACTTGTTGGGGACTATTTTCAGCTAGGGATCAATACACATTTGGTCCTCTAGTGAGTATTAATGGCACTGGAATGGTGTATGTGGGATCAACTTAACCTTTGTGTGGACATCGCAATCACGATGTCGTCATGTGCAATTACATAACCGCAAAACGGATACGATTTAATAAAACAGGGTGAAGATAAGGAAGGTTTGGGTTTAGCTAGCTGGTCAATTAACATTAGCTGTATTGGTGCCTTTGGTCGTTCAACATGTTCAACTTTTCATAAAGCCGACATGCTTGTCAGTCACTTTTTGTCAACCGACCAATTACAGCCTAGATGGGGCAGGGCAATAAAAACGTTTGACGTGCTACGGCAAATCATTAAATGTTGAACAATATGATTATTGAATTAGTAAGTAGCATTAAGAAATTAAAGACCAATGTTGAGCCTTTTGCTTGCACCAGCATTACATTTTAAAAAACAGAAACAGAAATGAAACAGCTGTAACTGGATTTGATAGTCAACTAGTGTTAAAATAATATACTATTATATGAAATTCTAATGCATGTAGTAATAAATATATAATTGTTATAGGTTACTAACAGTATACCTTTAACTCAACATTATACTCTTTATTATAATATTATACTAATACACTCATGTATACTAGTTTCTCTTCCAGGTTGCAGATAGAGCCTCTGGACAGATGTAAATTGTAAAAGTTTCAGGATGACAGTGTGCCAATATGTGCTCCTTCTAGCCGTCTCCTCCGTAGAGCAACACGGTCCCCTTGTTCTGTTTTTAGAACGTGTTGCACAATTCAAATTCCACGTTGAGATGCAAAATAATAACAGTACAGTAGTGGTAATAATAGAAATACAGGATTACTACAGTAGACAGCAAACTTTAACACCAACATACTGTACGGGCAAAGCAGCCACAGCAGCTACACAGTCAACAACAGGAGCTAATGCATGAGAACTGAAGAAGATGAAGAGGGAGAGACAGCACCTGGATGCGGGCGTGAGATGTGATCTATGGATGGTTCATCTTTGTATCTATTAATGCAGTGAAGATACAGATGTTTCATAGAGGAGACGAGCGTCTGTCTTTCACTGTTAACTGAGTCCAGTCTGCAGTGTATTTCATACAATTCCATGATAAACCACACAACTGTAGAGTAACATTAGGCTTCATGATCAAGGAAAGTTTTTATATCACATCCACATTTCTGTCAATATCCACAAGCTCGTCAACACATGATCTCTCTAGCTTGACATTGATGATAGCCGATAGCCAGCCTGACTATGGGTTCTTGCCTTATTTATTCGCTAAATTTAGCCGACTTCTCTTCTTAGAAGTGCACAGTCACAGCATTGACACATCAGGATGTGTTCAAGAAGTCTCCTGGTTGGGCGGTGCTAGATTTGTTTCAAACAATAGTCATATGTAGCCCGGTTTTCCAGTGGTTCATAGCAGGCTCTAACCACCACTGGTTATGTGCGCAGCGTTTCACTTGATGTTGCCCAGTAAGAATTCAGAATCTCAACAAAAGACACTGGTGTCTAAAAACTGTACTGGGGCCATCATCATGAGGGGCAAATGGCCAAACTAAGAGGCAATGGGGGCCAACACATTCACTTTTACTCAGTTGGATAGAACCTGGAGGTGGATTACAGGAGGAGTTCCTACCTCGTGTCTTGTCTGATGACCTTGCCTTGGGATTGGCTCCAAGCCTGGGACAAGGGTCCTCCATGAGGATCGATCTGATGACTTGGGGCTCCGACTACATGGTTGAAGAGAGAGAGAGAGCCAGGAAAGCATGGTGTTGTTTGATCTGGTAACGCTCAGAGATCCAATCTTCGAGTTTGGCAATTTTTTGACTTCAGCAGTCTGGAGGAGAGCTGAGTGGTAACATAAATGTAAAAATGTAACTGCTAGGTCAGTTGTAGCAATGCTACTACAACAAGCCAAAAACAGAGCAGGATCTGTTTACTGAATTGTCAGGTGCAGGATCTACTGCTCAAGTAAGGTCCACCTACTTGATAACCGAAATATTGATGAGCAATAGAAATCAATCATAGACATCACATTATAAAAAGCACTTAAATCTAAAAAGCTTTTTTGTTGTTGTTTTTTTTTTCTTTCTTGGGCTGATCAGACAAAATATATCTTACTGGTAAGATGATTAATTCATTGTTGGTATTGGTCTTCTTGTGGACAGAATATCACCAGCCTATTCCTTTAACCTCAGCTCTACTGATTATTACCTGCAGCATGTTTTGTATGTAACAAGCAGCAGCATGCCTGGCTGTTTTCCAGGATATTCGGCCACGTCAGTCATCGCTCAGAATGGCAGCTGGTGAAAATAGACTTCAGGTCCATCTTCAACAGGAGGTGTACAGAGGCGGATTATCAGACGTGGCACCTACACAACCAGGTACGGTCCGTGCCGGCATGGAAATAAAGACTAGATTTGTTTATCATCCTAAACATCATCCTACATCCTAAAAAATGTTTTTGACTCTTGGTGGAGAAATCTGCACCTGAAGCTTAATTGGAATTGAACCTCACACTAGATTAATTTGCTCTTTTAATGTAGAGGCTTAACAATCAACATGAGGTTAGTGCAATATGAAATTTTGGATCAAATTACCATTAAAGCAAGTGATGCATCACAATAGTGATTGTATTTTTTTTTTTTTCTTGTAAGAAAATTAAAAAGATCGTACTGCTGTAAATAGTCTATTGTTCCACACAATCCCTTGGTCACTCAGTCAGTCAGTATGTCATCATAGCAAAAACTGGATTTACTTAATATTGTGCAGTAATTTAAACATTTGAAAATACTTACAGATCATCATCATTTTGCAATATCACTGACAGGTTATACAATTACTTTTTTTTTTAATAAAACACTACCTAGAGTTGTGATATCTCTGTGATGGTCAAGTAATGTGCCATGTAATGATTATTGTATGTGTGTATGTTTATAGGATTGTTTCATGAGGTCTTAAGGTCTTAAAAAGTGCTTCATTCTTAGTTATCAGATGTTATGTTAAATCTCGATCAGAAATTGTAAATAATAATAATAATTGTGAACTTTGGCTGACAAGGATGGATGAGTAATATGTCAAACATGTTAAAGACCCCCATGAAGCTGGTGGATATTTCACTTTTTGGTCACCGTTGGTGTCTGTAATCACTCCCTTATTCACTCATTCGCTACTTGCTATATATCCAATCCACTATTATATAATACTCAGTAGTAGTACAGTGAGCAGGAATGAGCACTTGTGAATCATCATCATTGTCTATCTATAAATAGTGTGCACTGTGTAATAAATTGGGAGTGATTTCAGATACAGCCTTTGACATACATGTACAGTATCAGCAGAACGTAGTGTACAAGCTGTAGATGCCACATTCTTGTTCCATTGTGGGAACTGTTGAGGATGATGTATAGTGCACATGGAATTCAGACACTCAAATAAAATAGCAGAAAGTAAATATAGTCCTCTATGCAACACACTGGGAGTGATTTCAGACACAGCACATTTCTAATGTGAGCACTCTTAGCTTATGGCTGCACCTCCATTCTGCTGCATAAACAAACCCCCTAAAGGGGATTAACATTTTCATAATTAGCTATTATTATTTCAAAGTAAGAAAATTAAATACTCTAAAGTGTGTAGGGCTCGTCTTTCCTGTAACACACACCTCCTAAACAGAGGTTCACTTCAGAGAGGTCCCCTCCCATTGTCAGGGTAATGTCCGATCACACGCTGACCATCTCTGCTTTTAGCCTGGCTGTGTAGGGAGTGGATCTTTCAGTTTCCAGAGAACCTTTGCAGATTCTCCACAGATTCCTGCTGATGCTCTGAGTGAGCATAAAACCTCCCCGGGAACCCCTCAACACGGCTACACCTGAAGCCGAGCCAGAGAGCATGCCTTTATTCATGGCCCGGTTCTGTAATTGGTTTAGACACCCATATGCTCAGAGCTGGCTAATGATCACAAAATATAGCATAGAAGACGACCAAGCCAATTACAGGGTCAACCTGCCTAAATGTAGAGACACTGTAGGTCCTAGTCTGCTACAAAAATAAACCGAGTGCTATCTTAAAACAGAGGACCGAGTTTGTGTCTTAACATCAGTGGGAAAGTTAAGGACATTTTCAGGAGCTGGGAGTCTATTTGTGGATCTGGCCAGATTTTTTTAAGCATCTCACTACTGACACCTAATGCACAAAGACAGAATGTTCTGTTAATAGAAACAGAGCAGCAGTGTAGGATGGAGGATGCAGTGAAACAGGCTGGTGTTATCTTCTCATCTTTTTTGTACTCCAACTGATTTTTATAGTCACTTCCTACACATAGATACAAGGCTAAAAATGGATTGGGTGCTGGCAGATTTTGCAGCTGAAGCTCCTTCTTATTCGTTCATCTCAATATAACAAAAAAAAAGAACTCTTAGCATAATCTCCAGTGTGACACTTGCAACGGAAGAACAGTTGTTGAGTTTAGCACACCACACAGCACGAGCCCGTAAACATTCGCTGAACAGGAATGCACAATGAGCTGATGTTGAGCAAGACAATGGTGCTTTTCACACACAGTGTGATGCACACATGGTTGGTTGCATTGTGTAAATTATTTATGGTGGCAAGTTACAAAAGCAGCTCAATTTTAAAACTCTCTCCGGGTGACTTTCCTCTCTGTTCTCTCTTGAAATCGGGCCCACAGGGCGAGCCGTGCCTGATGGGAGTGAAAAGAATATATCGGAAACTGAAGTCCACATCCAGGTGTGTTATGGGAAAGATGTACTCTGTGTCGATGACGTCGGGCCCCTGTGACTGTACGGAGGCAGACTTTGAATGGTGAGTATGCTTTTCTGTTTTTAACCATCCAGCACACTAAAAACTTTGAGTACACAGATTGACTCTTATTTGTCTTGTCTTATTTAATTTGTACCAGTTATTCAATCAGCAGCTGGTGTAACAAATGGATACATCTGAGAAGATAAACAGAGAGTGAACATACATTCTCATACTATATACAGATCGTGTAATTTATATCCCAATACAACTCCTTTGTGGGCAATTCTAAGCCATTATTCTATACCGATATTTACAAAAACAGACATCTCTGTGATACACTACACTACTATGAAAATATCACTGGCAACCATCATGATTCCTTGTAGTTCAACACAGAATAAAGTAAGTGCAAAAAGCTTTAAGTTGACTTGTCTTGTTCATGTAAATGACTTGGAGATAAATAAGCTTTTAAAAGTTGCAGCCGTCAACAAGCCAATAAATGTGATAACTTTTCAAATTCTGGGGTAAAAATGTTTCAGTTTGATTTTTGTTTCTGTGGGATTCACCATCATTTGGAGGACAGATAACAAAAGTGGGAACAACAAATAGAAGTTAACCAAGGAAGTGTATTTCTAATCTGATCCTCAGCCTTATAAATAGTGGAAATACATTTGCCATATGTCCCAGGGTTTAATGAAACTGGGCTTAAGTGAAGGATACGGGAGGGATGAAGAGATACCATAATGGATAACATTCTCCAGATTATAATTGTATAGTAGCTCTAGCAGAAGGTTTCTTGGAAGGTGCTTAATGGAAACCATTCAACTGCTTAAACACGTACCTGTATCTTTGTATGTGTGTGTATGCGCCTGTGTGTAGACATGTATTACACATGTTGTGGGGACATAAATCAGTTTACACAGTCACATCATAACAGAACAGGTTCCATAAATCATTAAATTTGAATTGATGGAAACTGATGATTTTACTGCTTGAAGGACAGATTTCAGTGGAATCTGCTTTTGTAGCGGCTGCTAGTGAGTCTTCCTATTACAAGTGCAGTTACAGAGAATGTTTTTCTACATCCTCACAACCTGCTTTCTTTGAATTATCCGCAGTATTAATAGTGCTTTTTTTTCTTTCTTTTTTTTTTGCTTTGGTCCCAAATCTGCAGGTCTCTTGAGTGAGGCAGCTCTTGGAATAAGCACCATCAAAATCATAAATCACCAAGCCTAATAGCTTTCATTAACAATCACAACACTTTTGCATCTGTGTGCATGTCGCACTAATTGGGGCAATTTGTTCCTATCATTTTGGGGACACAGCATAGCTCTGCCTTTTCATCTGTAGGACAAACAACTCATAGGCTGTGTTTAAAAGGACCGCACAGAACAATAGTTGTTACTACAGTGAAGTCAATACTAAAAAGACAGCAGGTTTAATCTCCCACAATTCTGTATCAGAATTTCAATATCCACTACGTCTAAAATACAGAGCAGGCTTTTCAGCTCAGAATATGTACACAGTCATTTTATGTGTCTCATTTTAAAATATTTGCACCTGTCTTGTCTGTAAGTGTTTCCTCTGTGGTTCCTTATTGGATAACTGCTTCTGTTTTTGTCTCCTCGGCTCATTACAGTGATTATGGCTACGAGAGACGGACCAACGGCAAATGCACACCTGCCTTTTGGTTCCATCCATCATCGATTTCCAGAAGTTGCACCACGGGGATGACTTTCCTTAACAGCACTGGGTAAGCACAGGACGAGAGCTTAGTAGAATCAGCGCACACATCACTAAGTAGTGACTCGCAGGCATTGGGTAAAATGAACAGTTTATTTGAGTTGAATAGGCCGACATTAATTACTTTCTCAGGGACAAAAATGACTATGGGGTGAATGATCAAACATGTACATAAAAACAATCATAAACCAGCGAGTATAAACCCCTCGTACCAATGTAGGTGAAATAGTGTTTGCAATTCATGTCAAGAATTTCAAAAAGGTATAAATGAAGGATTCAGTATCCGGTGTGTAAAGCACTATGGATTTTCCATAATGTTCTCTGTCTGACAAAACAACCTCACATCAATGTCCATTTAGTAGCTCTTCTGGAGCTTTCAGTCATTTCAACATTTAAGCCAATTACAACATATTCATTTCCATCTACCAATGAAAACCACATCATATAACTGAACACTACTTTATGTTAACAATGGACACTGCTTTCTTTATTCAGTTTTGGAATTTTTGAAGGCACTATGGATACGTTTCCATTCAGAATTCAGACACTAAAAGAGAATGGCAGACCTTGTGCCCTGTATAGTACATAAGGAGTGATTTCGGACATTTTCTTCACAGTTTAGATTGCCTGTCAGAGAACACCCTGTTTATGTTCCTGTTTGGGCCCCTCACCACACACTTAACTCAAAGAACGGCAGACCTTCGTAATGTGATGTGTTTGTTATAATAGAGTCTATATGGGTGTCCCCATATATTATATATCAACGCCTTCCACAATGGATGCCTTAGGGAGATTTGCATCAAATGAACAGCTATACAAGATGAAGTGCAGTATGGTGCTGGATATCAAAGGCCACCGAATCAGAATGACTAGGGCATGTCTTCAAAATGGCCCGGGATCAAATCCCAAAGCTTGACCTGGGATGGACTCCATCAGGGAAAAGGAAGGAGCTGCTTCTAACATGTAGCACAAGACAGGTCTATATGGTGGCAGATGGTCGAAGCCTTATTTCCCATCAGGGACGAAGAGGATTAAAGAAAAGATAAGATGGCAGACAGTACATGTAGCTTACTTATGTAACTTTCATTTACACATTCACATCTATTTGAAACAGCACAGACTGAATTTTAATTGGTTCAACCATTTTCTCATTGACTTCCAGTGATTTCCAGCCGTGCATATCATTTAGATTTTTTATGTCCAACTCCGGCCCTTTAACTACTACGGTATTTTATCCACATCTATGGATAAATTTATGAGCTTTTTGTGTTTTTTGACAGCTACAGGAAAGTGGTCTCTAATAACTGTACCGCTGGAATCAGCACAGAGTACACAGCCAAGAGGCAGCAGTGTCCCACCCAAGCACCCAAAGGTCTCCACCTGGTCACCAGCGAGGGCACGCTGACAGCCACACTGGGCACCAATGTCACATTCCTTGTTTTTCTGGAGGAGGTGAGCTGTTTTCTGGACTAAAAGTCTCATGAACTCTCACACCAATTAAATGTCATTATATTCAGTAAGCAAGGGTAGTCTGAAGTTTTTAACCGAGAGTCTGTGCGAGTGAACACATGCATTTACAAGAAATATTTTATTGCTACTGTGTAAAGGGAATACTGCTGGTAAAAAGCACCATATTTGTTTAAAGTGTTTGCAAACCACATTATTACACTTTTGTGTATATAGCAGTACATTTACATAAAAATTGCGCAATACACTACTTTAGAATTCATTATTCAATTTTACACGTAACTATGTGATTAATCGCAAGAAAATCATGCATGAGTTTGTAAAATGATTTAGTAATTCCCTAGTTTGAAACTCGCTGGTACTACTAAGAACTGAGGAAGGACTTTACACATAAACAGCATGAACTCTGTACTTAAGATACAGTAAAATATAGCAACAAGAATTCAACCCTTTGGACCCCTTTATCTGAAGTACCATACACTGTGACTAGTACATACCCTTTTAACATGAATGACCACAGTGACTACCAAAGATATGATCCTTGCAGTGCAAGTGGAAAGACATCATTACACATCTTTTTCACAAGTGCATTGGCCAATTCAGTTCAATTCATTTTTGTTTACATAGCAAACGTTATAGAGGATGTCTAGACCATACTCATACTTTCTACTATAATTAACAACAATTCCCACCGTGAATATAACTAGTTACATGAAACCTGAGTGAATCTGTGGGTGATAAAGTGCTAACTCTGCAGAGTCCCTGAAAGTGTTAGTCCTGTGCAGGGCGACGGGGCGAGGACAAGCATCACACTGGACTTCGGAGACGGCCATGCTCTGACCTACTCCAATGTGAGCTCCATTGAGGACGGGATCAAACATATCTACAAAGCTGTGGGAATCTACCGGGTGACGGCCACTGGAGAGAACAGCCTCGGCTCAGAGACGACCTTGCTCTACCTGCATGTAACATGTGAGTTTTGTAAGATTTGTGTATAAAAATGCTTGTGTGTATTTATTTAGATAGGGGAATCTCCAATTTTTGCGCTTATGCGTTCGGCTCGTTGTGTTTTCCACTTTTTATCACATGCAGTGGAATTGCGGCCGTCTAGTTGTACACAGTGTACCACATTCTGTGCTTTATCTCTTCACAGAACATGCTCCCCTCCCATAACCAAACAAACAAGAGAGATAAAACAAATCCCAATACACTTCCACTCAAGTCAGGTCATGCTTTGCAGCCACTTAGCCCACAGAAGCCACGGAAGTCTCATATGTGACGAGACTGACCACCCCTGGTGTATTTGAGGGGTGACAGATGTAACAGAGCTGACTTATTGATCAGGGAGCGCCGTTGCCCCCACCAATCTGTCAATCCTATGTGCCAGGCGAACAAATAGAGCCACCGCAGGCTCATGAGTGCCACGGATGAAAAATAACACAGATGGCAGCCAACACTCCTAGCGCAGAAGCGAATTCTGAACAAACTCAACCCACACCCAACTAAATACTCTCCACTTTCTTTCTTCATTTGAAACAATGAAGTTGTTGTTTCTTCTTTTTGCACATTGCGGTGCAGCGCATTGAGTTCACTGATGATGTATATGTGTTCCTGAGTAGGTCAGCTGGAGTATATCCATCTCTCAGCTCCCTTTGTGGCGGTGAGGAATAAGGAAGTGAACCTCACTGCTGTTCTGTGGCCCAGCCAAGTGGGAACGGTCACCTACATCTGGTGGATCGGAAATAACACGGAGGTACTTTACACTTCTCTCTGAGCTTCTACTTCTGTTACGCCTTTGCCTGTTTGCAATTAAGTATGCTGCTGCTGCAAAATGTGAGTCTCATTATTTTGTGAAGCTATTTTTGTGCATCCAAGGTGGCAGACATTGTGGCCTTGTTAATCAGCTTCAATAAAAATTGCTAATCATGCTGACGAATAAGAGACACAAAGCAGCTTAATTACAGATGGCCAGTGAATTCCATCATTCTTTCTTACTCTTTGCTTAAACTAAGATCTTAAGCTGCCAGGCAGAGCTGATCAAGCCCATAAAGTCAGAGGAGACACATTTTTCTTCTAAGCTTTAGTGCTAGGGTGGCCATTTAAAAACTGGGCAGTGGGCCACAGTTGGTCAATGAATTTTTTTAAATAAACTAGAATTTGGCTTGAGCTTAATTCTAATAAATTGCACTGCATGTACATTGCACATCCTAGATGTCAACTGCTAGCTAGTCTGATCACTAGAGGCACTACCATTTTGAACAACTACAACCTACAATGATTACTAAACATTTTCCACAGTTGATCAAACGTTGCCGAGCCGAAAGGATGGGAGATAGCGAGCAACGTCTTATATTTTTCTGTTTATTGCCCACAATTAAACAAGTTCGACCACCCCTGGTATTTAGCCACGCAGATAGTTTTAGTTTTATGCGCACAACCCTCTGATCCAAATCCTGGTATGATGATTTTGAGACACTGAAAGAACAACCTCCATCTCTCTGGACAAATAGATAGCTGAACGCCCGGCCCTGTATGTAGAAATGCTCCACTCTCGCTATCTGTCTTCATAATTGTCATTGTATAAATGTGTTTGTTCAGCACCAACAGGGGCCTTCCACAAGGACAGCCAGTTATGTCAGTTGGTAATAAACTGCGGCAGTATTAGCATCTGATAGCTATTTGAAGAACAAATGGAGACATGAGTAATGACAGGAAGGAGCTGCCGGTGTCACACAGGAAACTCTCTGTTGCCCCAGATACTGTATCCAGCACAGCACAGATTGTTGCAAAGCTCTCAGTGTATGCTCCTCCGTGTGTGTGTGTGTATTTGTGGGTAAATAACAGTGGTGTGAGACCAGCCGTTGATAAGGGTCTCTCACCAGAACCCCCCAGACTCTGACTTTCCGTCTCCCTCTGCCCTGCCTTCTCTGTCTCTCTCTCTCTCTCTCTCATTCTCCCTCAGCAGCCACTAATCACCCTAGAGGGAAGTGTGGCGTGCACGTTCTCCCAGGAGGGCATCAGTACAGTCACTGTGCAGGTGTCTGCAGGGAACGCTATTCTGCAGGACAGAAAAAACATTGCTGTCCACGGTGAGCCGACCCCGTGACTCCATCTGGGATCCTGTAGCTCTGTAAACACACATGTCTCACCACAATCTACAGTACTTAATAATATACAGATAGATGTTATCCATATTTTTATGAAAGGATAATCCCGCTTAATTACAACTTGGGTCTTATTTGTTGTTTTGGCTATCATCCTTATTGGTGATATTGAGTTATAACATATTATGTATTATGTAAATACTTATTAACCATAACATCTTTTCTGGGAACACAATGGCATCTCCCAAAAAGTCAGTCAGATGATCAGATTTAAACCAACAACTAGGTTCACCAAACAGTAAAAAGATATCCTCAGGATGCCTATCGTAAGTCACAAATTACAGACCGATACCTTAGTGCAACTTTGAACTGCTGTATACTGTTCTTGTACGCACAAAGTTTTCTTGTTGAGTAGAGTATTATTAAAGATTCTTGATAACACCTTTAGAGCCTGGCACAGTGAAGCACCTGCCCACATTAGAGAGCCGCTGCAGCCCTTAATCACCAGCAGGTCTCTAAGGTCCTTTGATCAGGGTTCGCTGATTGTTCCTGGCTCCAGGCTTATAGCTAAAGGAGACTGTGCTTTTAAAATTGTTGCTCCTAAACTTTGAAGTCCTGGTACATAACATTGTCTTATATATCACTATATGCCAGGCTCTGGATGGGCAAGTTTTGGTATCAGAATCGATATCCATTGTTGTTCAACATGCCTATGTTTTTGGTGAATGGTGAAATGATCATTTTTTTGTTCTAATCTTGATGATTACAGCTTACAGCTCCATGGAAATCCAAAATCCATGTCTTAAAATATTAGAATAAAGAATGTGTAATACAGAAATGTGGACCTGAGAAGAGCCTTTAAGCTCTCAGTCTGGTTCAGTGCACACAACCACAATCATGGGGAAGACTTCTGACCGGACAGTTGTCCAGAAGACACTCACTGACTCCCTCACAAGGAGGCTGAGCCACAGATGGTCATTGTTGAAAGAGCAGGCTGTTCACAGAGTGCTGGATCTAAGCATATTCATGGACTGGAAGGTTAAAGTGTGGTAGGAAAAGGTGCACAAGTAACAGTGGCGGCCGCAGCCTTGAGAGGATTATCAAGAAAAGCAGAGGGGGGGGGGGGCTTCACAAGGAGTGGACTGAGCCTGAAGTACTGAGTGCATAAATTAACCTTTTTCAGACATTTCTGTCTTATACATTCTTTATTCTAATATTTTTAGATATGGAGTTTTCATTTCCAAGATCTATAAGCTGTAATCATCAAGATTAAACAGCAAAAGGGCTGAAATATTTCACTTATCTGAAGGTTTCAGTTTTTGACTTAAATTACGGGAACAATTTTTGTTTCAAATTTTCTGATCAATTTTCAGATACACCTGTATCTGTTTGCAACTAATGAGCGCAAACGGAGTTAACGATGCTCACACATTGTGCTTTGTGGCATACCAAACAGGTGTTTTGTGACCCATCAGATTCTGTGTCTAAATGCAAACCATGATCTTTTTTCCTCAACCTAACCAAGTAGTTCAGGTGCCTAAACCTAAACAAACTGTGACCGTTTCACAACATTACCCATGTGTTAGAAAGCCTGGCAGAACGCATCGAGGGCTTAACTTTCCATTTGGGTCGCAAAATCTGAAGAGTCATAGATTTTTGTGTAACATTGGGAGTGCATTTGAAACAACACATTGAGTGAAGGCATCCAACCAGTCTTGGGAAATATGTGCGAGTAAATGATGAGCACACAAAATTATTAACAAAGGGTAGGACCACTAGCCAACAGCCACAAAGTTCCTCCACCCAAGTCAAAAAAACGGTAGAAATGAATATGAACTAGCTCTTTTTAATCGATGTGAACTGAACTTTGAGCTAGTTCTTGTGAAGTGTCAAGTTTCACCTAAATTTCTCCTGCAGGGAGAAAATATAAATAAATGTAAATCTTGCCTTATGTTATCTTAACTTTCACAGCACTGTCGATATTGGGAGAGAAAAAGTCGAATGAGTGCATCATTCACTAGTTTTAAAATGTCCTGTGGATTCTTCTTGTAAATAAACAAAGTTCCTGTGGCCTAACAGATGTGTTCAATGGATTTCCTTCCTCAAAAAACCTTTGCAAAGCTGATTTCAGATCCTGTGTTTATATCCGTGTTTGCTAGCTTAGATTCTTACTCCTCCTTGCCTTATTTAGTTCCTTGCTCTGTTTCTTTGCCTGTTACTACCACCACCACCTGTTGATTAGCATAGCGATGTGGTCAGGTGACGTGTATCTTGGTGTTTGCCTGCTCAAGCATGTGCATCCTCGTGCATGATAGAAACAAATGTGGACCAACTACACAAGTGACACAAGTGTCAAAACCTCCACAGCGCACCTTCAAGCCTGTGATTTACGTGTCCTGTTGTGTTTTTTTGATGTTTGATGCTTTATTTTTGAAACACGTTGTGTTGTCTGCTCTTGATAGGTGCATAAGAAATTACTTACTTACTATAACTAACATTTCAGGTGTGCTCACGTTTGTTTTCACCTCCAGATAAAGTTGGTTTAGATCATTTGTATAAATTTTTTGCTTCTTTACAACCTGTTGGATGGTCTGGCCTCTTGTGGTTATTGTAAAGTTGGACTACTTTATACACATGTAACTGTTATTGCTTCGATAAGATCTGAAAAGATTGCCAAAACAATAAAAATAAGATAGTTGAAATAAGCTGGAGTTATCCTCTAGTGAAGGTGGTAGATTTTGGTCCATGTGAGCTGAATCTAATGGGTTGATCTCTGCATTTAACAACTGATGAAAAGTCAAAGCATCTCACATGAATTTACTCTCTTCTCTGCAGAATATTTCCGATCTCATCTGCTCGCCTTTTCATCAAACCTGGATGACCACAACCCTGACGTTGCAGAATGGAGGCTGGATGTAAGCCGAGTCATCAAGAACTCTCTGATCCAGGTGAAGCTCTCTCAGGTCTTTTAATGGAAACCGTGGCTTTATTCTGGTAAATACTGTCAGTGCTTGACCGGGCCAGTGACAGTCTATGAGTGCAGCGTGACCTTCCTGAGGCTTTGAGACATGTATCTGACTTTTATGATGATAAATGACAAGGCAAGAGGGAGGAGAGGGGGGAAAATACAGTTCAAGAGCACGCTGATTGCAGTGGCTCGCACACACTCTGAGTTCAGGGACATGCAGTAACGAGGTTGTGGATGTTGAAATGTACAGAAGAATAAATGTCAGAAAGTGCCTAATGTGGGTTCTTACACTGACCTGAAGGGACGCTTGGAGTCAAGTGCTTTGCGATCTGTCAAGTGGAAGACATGATTCAAACCCACACATGACATGTCAGGTACAGACTTTGCCTCATTAACTTTCTGTTTTTTTTTAGAACATCCTTGGAACTTTTCGGATTCCTACGAAAAAGCAATCTGGGCATTGCATCATGTTTTTTGATCCTGCAAAATCAAAACTGATGCCAAAAATATACCCGGCTGTTCAGTCTTCAGTGAACATGTCTGTTTTGTTATTTGTTACTAACATCATTTTTTCTTGACAACCCCTGCCTGGAAGGCAGAACACGGGAAAAAAAACAAAAAAAAACACCCAAAACATTTCAGATGAAAATATGACATGATAGCTTAAAACATTCACATTCACAAGACTCACTGCAGCAAATCCATGCAAGAGCTGGAATAAGAACTGGAGGCTCTTGCAGGAATCAGGGAAAACTTTCAGTAAATTACTCTATATTTGTTTTATATTCCTAGCAGACTGAGTAGACATTAATATCAGATTGTGCTCAGTCTCTCAACAAAGAGTCAGCTATCAAGTCTGTTCTTCCTCCAGAGGACAGGCCATTGTCAGTATCCACAGCAGATGTGAGAGGAGTCCTGCTGAGAGTGACTATGAGTAGAGCTGCTGGGCCTGATAACATCCCTGGCCGTGTACTAAGAACATGTGCCAATCAGCTAGTGTGCTTCAATACAACCACCATCATTCCTGTACCTCTCATAACATAATTGTTTGGGGACAACATCAACCGGATTATTAACAACAATGATGACAATTCAATAACCACATGTAGTCCACCTGTAGAAGACCCCTTGTCCAGTTGGTGGCGATTGTGCATATTAATTAGCTGCTGTCTAGTAGACTTGTCTTTGATCTCACATGCACGACCTCATTGTCTGGCTGGTTTTAGCCATCACATTGGCAGGCTATATCGCTACATAGCCCAGCTATCGAAAATGTCTTGCAGCTGCAGCATGTCTGAAGTTTCTTTAGAAAGTTCTATAATTGTATTGTGGTTGATAAACAAGGTGAAAAAGAAGGATTGATGAGGTGGAGAGTGAAGCACAAGCAGGTAATACCGACATAATACTGAACATTATACGTTTTTCATTATAAGTGACAGCAAGGAGGTAAAAATAATTCTTCTGCTACTTGTGGTGACATAGACTTTATAAAAGAAGTGGACGTAGTCACAGTGACGTCAAGTGAACTCTCAAGTCTGGCAGTTTGGCCATCGCCATCTTATTTTTTTGCAACCAGGAGCCGGACGTGACGGGATTTTGACGAGAGGGTGGCGCTAGCCAGCCTGTTTAGCAAGGTGCATCCGTAATTTAAGTTAACTGTGATTTAACTGGGATGCTAATTTTGGCTAGCGAAAAACAGGCTTAAAAACAAAATGTACTTACCGGATGAAATTAACAGCTGACTCTGAAAAAAGTTTTTCAACGGCGCTGGTTAAATTTACACATGCAGTGGATACTAGTCACCTCGATCCTGACGCCATAGCAGTGACTTGTCAGTCCAAAGTTAGCCACACCCTAAAGCATACTCTGCTTTGTCATCTATTTTACTCTTAAACAATGAATCACGCTGTGTTGAAGAAGATTTGAAATTAGTGATTGAAACCATAAACTTACTAGGAAAGTGTTTACTGAGGTAATAAATCAAGTGAGAAGTCATGTTTTAGGGTCATTTTGTTATTAAGTCTGATGCAATCACACTTCTTTTTGCAACCACGGCCTTTTTTAGACCCTAATGAGAAAGTCTAACACATCCTCACACATCTCCAGGCTGGTAAAGAAAGCTCAGAAATGGCTTAAATGAAACTTAATAAGACAAAATGCCTGCCTGCACAGAGCCCAAAAAATTCTAAAAGAGTAGTACCCACCCAACCACAGCCAGTTCACCCTGCTGCCGTCTGGCAAGAGATACAGAGGCATCTGCTGCCTTACCACCAGAGTACAGAGCAGCATCTTCCCTCAGGCTGTGAGACTCTTGAATGAATGTTCAGAAATGCATCATAAATAATAGTTTTGTTTCTTTTTTTGTGTGTGTGTGTGTGTGGCATGGGACTACAGCTTGCATGTCGTTGTACAACCATGTGCTGTATAATTATAAAGAAATTAAATTAACCTAGAAATGAACCTTGAATGAACCTATGGGCAGATGCTCAACAACAAAATATCAGTTCTAGCATTTTCTTATCTTGTTTCTTTTTTTAAACGTCGTACTTCATACCTTTTTAATCCCTGAGTAATGCCTGCAGTCTTTCTCTCAGGCTGCATACTGTCTCAGCAACCTACCCCAGAAAAATAGGGCAGCCTGTATGATGCAGGAGAGGCAAAGGACTGACTGCTGCTTGTGAAGCTTCATTTCTTTGAGTGTGCAGTAATAACTGAAGGCGACTCAAATGAGAATATCAACATTTTGATCATCTTTGATTTTGAACAAGCTCTTGGACTTTCCAACAAGAAAATATGACAGTCAGAGGCTTTAGTTTTGGTCATTTATTTCGACAAACCCTATATTAATTGCTGTCTAAACAAATCATAAATTGACTTTGTTCAAATTAATTACTGTCTGAAATCCAAGTAAAAAAATGTTTAAAAAGACTCCATACATTTCGGTCAATACCAAAACAGACAACGAAACCGATGATGGACAATTTTCTCTCTTGTTCCCTTTCAGGCCACAAGCGTGAGAGAGGATCATCTTCTGGTCACCGTCCTCCCCGGTTTACCCACAGTGGCAGAATTTTTCCTTCTACCTGACAAACAGTTAACTGAGGGGAAACCAGAGAAGAGCTCTGCTCATTTAGATCAGGTGAGACACCAGCTGCTGCTCTTTCTGCTACTGTGTGTGAGTGAGTCATTCCTTTTTCCAGCCCTAGACAGTATTTGTGTAGGTGGACGGATTTCACCTTGTTATTCTCATTGTAATTCTACCATAACCCTATGCACAAGTATAAAACATTGATTCCTTTTTTTCCTGTTTTGTGAGTCATAGTTGTTCTTTTTTTCTAGCAGCAGCTTACCCAGTAATTGCCTCCTGAAAAACCATCCCAGATTTAAGTTCCTCCTTTGTCCAGCAGATGTCAGTATTGATCTACTGAAGCATGTCCAGGACTTTCCATGAGCCTAATTCTAGAACCTGCCTGAGGAATCTCGACAATAGACTCATCAATAAGCCTGAAAAGCACTACCATGTAATCAGGGGGAACAACTTTTAAACTCCCTCAAGTCACATCCTGTGGGGTTTTGAGATGGGAGGGGGGGCCGTGTCTCAAAAAAAAAAAAGCCAGACAAAGAAATTGCCATGGTTGATCAGTTCACTAAATCACCGGCGTATCAAGATGGACCGAATTAGCACTGAGCCTCACGTAACAGATAATGACTGATAATAATGTTGGATCCGTGGGAAGAATTCCACGGGCATATGTAGAGAAGGAAAGTGGGGGAAGAAATCAATTTCATCTTCCTTCCCTGCTAACACCTGGATGATCGCCTGGAAAGATCCTCCCTCCTAAAAGCCAGCGATAAATCTTCATTCAAGGTTGGCATCTTTAAAGTGTAGCGTGCTCTTCTTATTAGAATGTATAATAGATTTACTGACCCTGGTATACAGTGGGAAAAAGTGATTAGTCACAGCACAGTCTAAATTTAAACTGCTAAGAAATATAAAGGGGAGGATGAAGCACTACAAAAATTACTCATATCACAATTAATTTGGAAAATGAGACACACAAGATAAATGAAGCCCATGCAGAGGAAAAAATGGAATCAGCAGAGATAGAATGGAAGATGATGTTTAGGTGTGTGTGTCCTCTCTATGCAGCTCCATATGTGGTTGTTTCATAAGTGCAGATAAAATAGAGGAAAACTGTTTTTATGCTGTTGGAATGATGTTTAAGAAAAGGCCCATTTAACTTTAAGATTGTGCATAAGGAGAAGGATATAGACATTTATAATTGTGTGGATGTAATGTGAGGACCTGTATGAGAGAATAGATGAGGGACAGATGAGATTGGCTTTCTATAGGTTACATTTACATTCTGGTCAGGCTAATCTGTCTGATTTATATCAAAGTTGGATGTTCTCAGTGCAGAAGGTTACTTGCTAGTCTGGAAAGCAGTGATCAAGTGACGCTGCATCCTATTCATTATGCATCACAGTGGAAAGGTCCCACAGACAAAGACTCTTACATAAACAAGAAAGCTCAGATGGGGTTGTATGTAGAGGTGAGGTTTCTTTGGGTCATAAGCTCTTACAAGTAATGAAAGTAAACACAATCATTGTAATGCTCAGTGTTTAAAGTGCATCAGAGTGGTGTCAATTAAAATTAATTAAAGTCATGTTAATGCTATAATATCCTTGCAATGTCCATTGTTGATTTGGATCTACTGTACATGCAACCTCTGTGTTCATTTTGTCTGTCTCAGGCAGTAACGTTTTGGGATTTGAGAATTTTTGGAACTTAAATCTGCACTAGCCAATATTTGTATATTAACAATAAATCAAAATGTGAAAGGTGTCACAAACAGTGACAAAGCCATAGAGAATAATCACCCAACTCTGCATTTGCCCTCAGAAGTGAGGAGCCTTTTAGCACCTTTGAGCTCAGTGTTTTGGTGTTCTGACCCACAAATTCCCCTCTCATTAACCCTGTTTCCCGCAGCAGTTTTCAGGGGAAAAAAAACAGTGGATTATTTAGCAACTAAAAAGAATTTTCTTTTTAGAGTTTTCTTCTTTGTCGTCTCAGCCGGCTGGAAGGGCGTGTCATCAGTTGACTGACAGCAGCTGGCAGACTGCCGGAGACACAACTCCAAATGAATGCGATGTTACTCCGTGCCTTCTGGATGTGTAAATAGGCAACTGTTGTCCAGCTTTATATGGTGAAAATATTGTGTTTTCAGCCAGTTCGGCTGCCCCCAAGTGGACAAAAAGTCAATTAATGCAGCTTTAACCTGACTCACTTGTGTACCGCACTGCTTCCCTACCTTTACAGGCTTGTTTCCCCTAAAAATGTTTACTTCACAAGAAAAAAAAAAAAATCAAAGCCACAAAAAATAAACCTTATTTTATGTAGCAGAAACATGTTTCTTTCCCTCTTCTTTCAGTCTTGGTAATCATAATCCTCACATCTCTCAGACATTTAAACCAGAACACCTTCGGAAGTGCTGTTAAGGGCAAGTGATATTTGGACTCAATTATTTTTCAGTCTGACATTAAAAAAATGGATGGATCTGTGCAAAGATTGATCAGGACAACAAGCACATTTTCTCGGAAATGTCAGAACAGAGTAAATAAATGACAAGTCAAACTAGAGATAGATGAGACTCGGGTTTGATGATCTTGGCAATGACCTTTCTCAATAGGTGCATTCTTGTTTCTTGCACAAACTAAAACTATGTCATTCACATCCTGTCTCCCTCTCTATGTCCCAACAGCTCTCTGAGGTGCTGCTCAGTGCCTTAAATCAAAACCTTGTCCAGTTCACATTGCGGCCAGGGGTCCAAGTCACTGTGTACGCAGCTCACCTATCAGCAGGTAAAGAAACACAGCTGCCTGCGTATGTTTAGAGCTGCCCGGGAGGACATTTGTACTTCTGTAGTAAGTGGGATGGAACATAGAGCATGTAGACTATCAAGAGAACTAGATACAGTGGACAGTCGGGTATATTATTATTTTTGCTGCCCCATCAACTAATAACCCCAACCCTGTGTTTGATTGGCTCCCACCATGTAGCTACACAGGGACATTCAGAGAGTGAGCATCGTTACAAGTATGTGTGCCTCTTCCTATTGGGGATGCTGCTTCTGTCCTAAAGGGGCTTATAAGATAAAGAGTAAGATAAGTCCATACTACTGTACATTAAAATGATTCATTTACATAGGTGTCAATCATCTTGTTGACTGCTGATTGCATGATTCAGCTGGGTGGAAATACAGGTTGTGTCAGTTGTGCTGCTTACACTCTGTGGCTCTTGTCTCCCTGTCTCCGCAGCGCCCCTAGTGGACACCAGCGAGAACCACAGTGGCTCTGCCATGCTAATGCTGCTTTCAGTAGTGGTTGTGGGTTTAGCTGTATTTGTCATCTACAAATTCAAGAGGTAAAGCATTCACGAAATGTCATGTCTATATAGTCGTCACAGCGTACGCGATAGGGAGGTGGTGAAAGGTGTCGTAGCATCCTGACAGCTCAGTAAACAAAAGCTGCCTGTGAGGCTACAGAGAAGGTTGATAGCTGCCTGTCAGACATCGTTGCCGGCATACCCAGCGCATCACAGTGGAGAATTGGCTTTTCCCTCACACATCTGTTGGGATCCTGTGGAAATTCTTTTGTCAGGTCATCCTTTGCAAAAGAAATGTCAGTCAGCCGTCAGCCGCTATCAATATTAAGCCCTTTGAACGTAGGGAGTTGACCTTTCTGAAATGTTAAATTATGCCTCCTCGCCAAGGTGCATTTTCAAAGGAAAAGGGCACGAAGGGTCATGAAGATTTACAGACAAGCAGACAGAATAAAACTTTACAGACCGTGTTGCTCTTAGTTTGTGTAAATGTTGATTTGCATGCAAATGTACTTTACTGTATTGCACAAAGTTACAAAGAAGTTGTTACAAGAAATAGTTTCTGGATGCGGATGGTGTCCTCGCATTCTTTGTTATAGTTAGGTTGCTGTCCCTACCTCACTGTAAATCTTTCCTCAAGGAAGATCCCAGGCCTCAACGTCTATGCGCAAATGCAGAACGAAAAAGAACAAGAAATGATGAGTCCAGCTAATCCAACAGAGGCCACGCCCAGCTCACAGCGGGATTTGGTGCATTCTTTGGAGATTCTGGACACAGAGTTTAACTCACGGCCCATCGGTGAATATCCACTCTGGTGTGAATCTTATCTGTGGCTCGCATATTCATTTTTTTTCTACATTGCTTATTTCATCTCATCGTGTGTGTTGTTCCATGAGACTCATCCAGTGCTTTTTGTTGTGTGTTTCCCAGAAGTGAAATGGTCCGGTGAAGGAGTGAACGAGAGCTAAACAAAAATGAGTATGATGAAAAGTACAGCTGCTTCTCGGCAGTACAACACACATTGTTCTCCTCAGTACTGTCACCTTTTAATCAACTCAGAAAACAGATTGGTGACAAATTAAAGAAAAATCTAGTATGAGGTGTCTTAGTTAAAGGAAGGTTCCATTATGAGCCTCTCAGCCACAACGCTCCTTGTCATAGATACTTCAAGTCTATGGGACTAGTTGCACTCACATGGGTTTTCAGCTGGGTTGGGATCGGGTGCTATGAAGGCCACAGTATATGATTCATGTCATTTTTATATTCATCAAACCGTTTCATAAACCCTATCTGAAGTATCAGCATTAGCATTTTCTCATGTGTCTCACCTCATTTATTTTGGTTTTTCCTTTCATTTGTCACCCATTTGTATGTTGTGATATGATATTTGACTGTGATAGCCTAACATAATGTCTGTTTCCCCAGCTTTTCTTAAATGTATGTAAAAAGTATTTTTTCCAGAGGTAAAGAAATTGTGCTAGGTGTTTGTGGCTCTATGAAATTTTAGGGTTTAACACCACTACCTGTTGAATGTCAGTGCAACCATGTCATTAGCACATAGTCACATGTTGTGTTCTGTTTCAGTTTTCTTTAAAGTGAGACTGAGTAAGTTTTGAGAGAACAAATAGCAAATTGTACAAATGAAATGTTGAATTTATGACCAGATACACATTCGTCCCCAATTCAATACACTTTACAGCGTTTTGCCAAAACGACTAGTAGCTTACCGTGGCTAATGTTAGCTAGTGTTAGCAAGATTTGATTGGATATTGCTGTGTAATTGATGTTACTGAGTCAGTTTACTGACTTGAGCATTGTTTTCTTCTTGTGCCATTGTTACAGTAGTATTAGTATTTGCCTTGTGGCTACAGTGGTTGGTGTTCAAAAAACTTTCATAGTCTCACTTTGATAGCTGCTTTTCTGTTTTCGTACATCCTTTCTCATCCAATTTAAAATTTAATCAATACTATTTATTTTTGAAACACTTCTTTTTCAGTATGTAAATGCCAGCTGACTTATCTGGTGAAAGAAGTTTTACAGGTGCATTAATCAAGATTTTTTACATTAACAGTGACTCAAATAACTGTGTACGCCCACTAAGAATTGTCAGCAAATTCTAAAAATCCATAGCGTTTTAACAGTAACTAACGTCGATCCGTGTCTGAAACTGTGCCGTATTGGGTCCTTGAATTTGAGGGAATTGGGTCTTAATGCAGCATAAAAGGATGTAATGCAACCAGCTATATTTTATAGATTTACTTTCTTGTACAAAATATCCTCTTAAAACCTGCTTTTTTTTCTCCCTCTCCTTTTTACTCCCAGGATGTATGAAACCTCATGTACATGTGAAATTCTCCACAGAACTCCCCACGTACATCGTCTAAACTCTGGATCACCACTCCAGCTGTGTCATGGATATTTTTTACCCTTTGGGAAACAATGGTTTTGAGCTTTATACCTGTGCATGTTGGACCCTGCTGACACATACTGTGCTCTGTTCAAACCAGAAGAAACTATGTACAGGTTTTAAATGTTCTTTTAACATATGTCCGATAAATTAAACATTTTAAAAATGTATTTATACAAGTCAGATACATAATTCAGAGGGAACGCCAGCATGAACTAGAGTGGAAAAAATGAAATAAGCAACACTGTTTTGGTTTTGCTTACAAATCTGAGATTGGTTTGCTGTTCTATGAAGCTAACAGCAGTAGTGTATTATTTATTCATATCAATATACTTTTATGAAGTATGTTATTGAAGTTAATTACACATTTATTTTCTAAATTCATGAATGTCTATTATAAATTTGTGTATTTTAATAACAAATGTCATACTAAACAGAAATGCTGTTATAAAATATGAATAGGGTACTTCAAAGCTTTTGGTCCATTGTCTCTTGGAAAGCTGATTTATGGCACAATACACATTTTCTACTGTTTTTTTTTCTGATTTTAATTTATTAACAGAAGTACAGGGTTTGGTTTTCTGGTCTAATGTAACATTTGCTGTAAATCTAATTCTTCTGGTACTATTTATGATACATACCAGTTTGTAAAATGTTTTGTGCTTCAGACCACTCAATGGTTTTGGACTGAAAGTGATCCCCAAATATCACCAGACAACACACCTGGGGGAGGTATTCCAAAATCGTCCTCAGACACACACCCCCACTGAAACTCAGATTTACGGTGGCAGTTAGACTTCTTCTTTGTGAGAAAATCTGAAGAGCATGTCAGCGAGAAAGAGAGAGGCAGAGAGAGGTTAAGAGAGATGGAAGAGTGCTTTTTGGGGTTGTGACGCATTAAGAGCATCCGATTGGACAGAATAAAGAAGAGGTTGACTTCTTGAATACTTAATATGGCCAGCCAAGCTCAAGGCTGGCTAAGGTTGGTGACACATTCAGGCTAATGTCCTGACCCGCTCTCGAGTAGCACCCATTTTCATCCCAGCTCATTATACGGAGCAGGAGAACTAGAGCGCAGATGCTACCAGGCTACACGGATGGTTAGCTTGTTCAGAAGACTGCCAAGCCATGTGGTACTTTGTGTGTGAAATCTGACAGATGTAAATGCCTGATTGACGCCTTTAAAATCTTCGGAGGCAACTTTTCCAGATTAGTTTTCCCACTTTTTAATTTATTTATCCACAAATACAGGGGGAGCGTGGTTTTGTCAGCACTGGATGAACTTTTCTACAATTATTCGGTCATAACTGTACAGAAATTACCACAGTAGATTCACCTTCAACGTAATCAGTGGAGAATGTAAGCATAGGCCATGCAGAAGAGTGAAAACTCACACTGGCTTCTTTGCAAAGCATTATTTCATATGACCTCTGTAACAGTGTTCAGACCCATTACACACTATACCAAGTACTGAGAAGTTGCTGCAATTCATTTTAGATGAGTCTCAAGTGAATTGCTTTTCAATTGCAATTGTGGAATATATAGCAAAATACCTTCGTAGCTCTGTAGTGACTAGCCAAAAATATTGATAAGAAAAAGTGACGCTGTGGTGGGCCATGAGGTTTTTTACCCCCTGTGGGAAAATATCTCTAAGAACATCATTATTCTGAACTCTGGGATTCCTCTTTAGTAGGACTCTTGCCTTTAAGATTACAGATACAAACAAATATTAAGTGATGCTTTTGACACAAAGTCACATAAATTGTTGAAGTGAGTGGTAGGTTGCTTTCAAGATTGGCCTACCAACCAAGCAATTGGCCCCAGACTCAGTCGGGGGACTCAGAGGTGCTAGATTCACTGTGTATAAATTAGTTTGTGATAATCTAATTAATTGCAAATGTGTTTGTCAATAATGTATATACTGTTGAAATTCATTATAAATTGAAATGATAAAGGCCTTAAGATAACATCATCATGCATCATTGCATCATTACCTAGTCGTAAGGACCCATCTTTTAGAGGGGCCCTAAGTTATGATCTGCCCTTTATGTGTTTAATGTGTTATGCTACATGGTGCATTTTTAAGTTTCCACAAACTAACTACTAACAAATTCATACGGAAGGCACAGAGATTGGGAGAAATTAGAGGGTCATGAAGGGCTAACATCTCATTTTGCCCTGGGGCTGGGTTTAAGTGGGTTATTACGCCCCTGGTTGCTTATTTAGCAAACACTACCAAACAAGGAAGCTGTTTGCCATGTTTGCAGGTCCTGACTTGCATACAGTGACTAACCAACAGTTGCTCAGGCAGTATTACTTGTTTCACGCCTCGTGGCTCTACACCATAACAAACGCTGGACATGCTACAGACAGAAAACCAGTTAAACTGAAGAGTGAATGTGATAAAATTGCTGTTTTTCTGGGCTGGAAATAGTATGGTGGCGTATCCTGGCAGTGTGTTCACACACGTAGAGATACAAAGAGCCTGAAAGAGGTGGTATTATGCTCATTTTCAGGTTCAAAATCCAATTTAGGGGTTGTACCAGAACAACAATGGTTTACATGGTTTAATTTAAAAAAAACACCATATTTCTTTTCATACTGCACATTGCTGCAGCTCCTCTTTTCACCCTGTGTTGAAGGCTTCGTTTTAGCTATGGAGTGATACATCTGGTCTCTAAATGATCTTTGTTGGGAGTTGCACATACCCAGTTCCTGGTTAAGGACTACTAGCCAATCAGAAGCAGAGAAGGGCGGGTCAGTGAGAAGCCGGTAAACAGTTTCGATTCAGCTGTAGGCTATATGTTGCCGAATAGCTTGGCAACATGGACTGGAGCTAGAGTTTCAGAGCGGTGAGTTATTAATCTGTAACCATAAAGTTTTAACTGAGCTCTGTCTCTACATCACAGGAACAACTTTATGTCCACTGACTGCCTGGAGGGTAGCTAGTGTTTGGAAGGGAGAGGAGGGTATGTGCTGCAGCTCACTGTTTTTGGAGTAGCCGCTCGGAAAGCGTTACATGAGGCGCATTTACTGTAGCTTTCATCCCTGTGACATCACAGGGATGAAGGGACAGGGACTGCAAACGAGCTGTTTTCATACAGTTTAGAGCAGTGTTTTCTGTGGGAGATGGGAACCTTTGGGCAGGACTTATATAGCTCAATGAAGGAGAGGGAAAAAGACAAAAAGCATAATGGTGCTTTCAGACCAAAAGCGAAGCGAGCGTTCGGGGCGGCGTGAAGCGACGCAAAGGCGAAGCGAAGGCAGCTCGAGAAATTCGCATGACGCTGTGTTGCGATAGCCTATCAACGCTGAGATTGTCCGTACGTCACCGATAGCTTCAGAGCATTGTGTGGAGAGGGCCAGGCAGAGCGAGCGATTGAAAATTTGCAGGCCGGCTGAGCACTGCTAAACTCCAGCTGAGCAGCGCTCCAGCTTCGGACAAATAAACACCCGTGGTCGGAGTGGACTTTGCTCGCAACTACGCCGTTTGCTCGAGGGAGGAGCTCGGAGTAAACTGATTTTATTACAGGTTTTAGGGTTACAACGTTGATTTATCTTCACTTGAGCTTCTCAGCAGCTAGCTTCCGTGCACATCCGGTTCCAGTGTTGTTAGCGTCGTTTGGTACTACTTCATATTTACATAAAAAACTGACAAAACTGGACATTGCTGGGAGAAAAGAAAGACAGGAGGTTGAACTACCTGGTGAGTTCAAAAAACATGTGTATATAACTTTATTCCAGCTATCGTGACCAAGTTAGCATAGCATAGCCCTGATCGATCCGAACTCCATTCAGAAAACAAACATTTTAGAAGTTGTTGTCCTGCTATCTTGCTGACAGACCTGACAAAGCATGAATTCATATGCTTAACAAAACTGCATCATATTGTAGTTATTTTGGCATCAGTTTGATCCGTTTATTGCTATTTAATCACAACAAAATGTTTACTTTGGGTTCATACAGCTGTAATGGCAAGTTGTGTTTATTCACGTTATCGCGTTAAAATCGCCTTCTCGCTTTGTGTGTGAACACTGGCACTGAATGTACTCACGCGAGGAAAGCGTCGCGAGGAGAAAATTTGCGTTTGGTCTGAAAGCACAGTAATACCACCTCTTGAAGCTTGCGGGCATGTTTGTGTTGATAATGCAAGACTGATTCCCGAAGTCCTAATGTTCAGGTACTTTCTCATGTCACAATGATTGCACAAGCTTTCCGAAGCTGCACAAACTAAATGTTATGCGCCAAATGTTTAATATTTATTGAATTCAATTAATATTATTAATTATTAATAACTGCCCAAGAGTCCGCTTTAATTTTTGTTTTGGTTGTGTGGTTATATTTTATTTATTTAGGATATTTAAAAATTTTTTTACATTCCATGTCTGAATATTCTCATTAATAAAAAGTTAATTGCTTTTTGAATTATCATTACATCAGTGGAATACAAACGCTCTTAAAATGACAATAATGTCTTTTATCATAATTATATCTGGGACAATATGTCATCCAACAAAAGTAAGTATTGTGACAGGCCTAGTGTCAGAGGGCATTTGCAACCCTCAACTTCTTTATGTTGTGCTGCTGAACGATTTGTCTTTAAGTAGTGGTGGATGGCAATAGCACAGTTTTCCGAGAATCAGTTCACAGTGACTGGCATCCTGTTGAGTCTCCAGTATTTGAGCCCATTAGTGTGAATAGGGCATTATATGTCAAGATGCCTCCGTTGTGCCCTCAGTTACAGTCGATACATTTTTTGTAGATGAAGTGTGATGTATCTATTTAAAATGAGCGTTTACATTGCAAAGTTGCATGCTATGAATATTTTGGTTAATAGTTCTGCGTCTCTCTTCGTTTTCATTGTAGTTGTGTTTGTTCCATCTGAGGTTGCAGGACAGATTTATCTTGGTCCCCTGCATGGCATATAAGGGTAATTTTACGTACCCGTGGTTGGAAATTTGTAAAGCAGCAACAACGAAATGTCTTGAAATGTAGCAATACAATAATAATCAGATTTTCTATGCTTACGGAAATGTAAGGATTTCTTACATTTTGCAAAGCAGGGATTTAAAGTTCTATACTGGGAAGATTTCGTTCACATTTCAGATTTAGAAAAAGGATTTCTGGCTCTGATTTTAACAGCTTGAGGGAGACATAGCCTGTAACCCCAGACCCTTGGTCAGGAACAGCGGAGTACTTATCCCAACTTTAACCCCATATGGCGCAGGAAATGACTCTGGCCAGGCAAGATCAGGAGGTCCACCATGTCCAGAACCTTCTGCCTTTGAGTTTCACTGGGAGGAGGACAGGTTGAACAGGCAGGAAGTCCTGCTGACACGAGGGATCTCTGGCCTCCTGGTTAGGATGTGATGTGACAGCACCAGAGGATGTGGGAAACAGTATTTAGTTTTAGACCAGCTTTGAGCTACACTTTCTTCCTCTCTCTTCCTCTCTCTTTATCTATAAATCCTCCTCCCCGCAGAATTAGCAAGATTATTATTTTTGTAGAGAAATGTTAATAATAATAAAAAAGTTTTATTACTGTACAGTTTTTGTATACGAACAGACGGTAAGGTGTTGCAGTGTTTATGTTTGACCTCAACTGTGCTGTGTGTAATTGTTTTATGCATTTATAATCATATTTATTAAATGGAAAGAAGTCTGTTAACCGTGTTCTCATTTTCTTACAATATTTGTAAAGAAATACTATGTATTTGCGGAAGTAATATTCAACCTATAAAGAAAACGAAACAAGCACGTGTTCGTATTTTCTTCTACACACTTATTACATTTCTTCATTTAGATGACGCTTTTATTCAAAGCAACTTACAATTGCTATATATGCCAGAGGTTGCACACTTCTGGAGCAACTAGGGATTAAGAGGAATGTGTCTCTCACACCAAAGGCATGTGTCTTATCCACAGCGCTATCACCACTTATATACTGTATAGATGTTTTTACATGCATATAGTCAAAGCTGATATAGTTATACAGTGTTACACAATTTGAGCACAGATTTTCTGACATTGGCATGTGTAACAAAATATTGTAAGCTTAAAGGTCCACTCAGTTTTTTGTGCTTTCAATTGACCCTTCGCTAAGCCACACCCCCCTAACTTACTGTTGCTTAGTCCGACAATGTCGGATTTATCACGGAGCAGCCACTGTCTATAACTGCACTCCCTGGAGAAATATTGTCTAAATTTTGGAAACAAAGTTGCCAATGAAGTGATCCTGAGTATGATGTTGACTGAACAGTATTTCTCTTAATGACACGTTTTGGTTGCTCCTCTGAGTTGAGCTAACATTAGCCATGTTGAGCTTTAATGTTGCCACTCGGGTAAATGATGCTGCCTCATGTCGTGTTGAAATAATTTGGAAAAATTAGATTGAAAGACACTGCGTGACAGTCTATAAGAGCAATCTGGGCGATTTTCAACCAGACTGAAATTGCCCAAAAGGGTCGGTACTCCACAGGACTTGACGCTGCGGCTGGGCTGATTGGACTATGATATTCAGTAGGTATGAGTGAGTGCACCACTATCTGTATCTGTTCAACAAATGAAATTATCTGTATTTGTGTCTGTACTCTGAATGGGTGGGGTATATTGACACATTTTACTCTGATCATTTCAATCTCTCAACCCAAATATTCAGGCAGAACAAACTGTCTTCAAAATGTGTATGAATTGAGTTGGAAGATGGTGCCCTATCACCCTCTGTTGGCCAGCCGCTCCTGGATTTGCACCATGGCTGTCCTGAATAGGCTGTCAATCTGATTAGAGACACAGCCCATAAGATTTAAATTCCTATGATTTCTAAGGGCAGTATTCCACTCAGTAGTGACAATGAGCCTCATTCATAAACGTTTTTCATATATTGGTCCTTATCATTTTCTTTGTTTAAATGACTCATAAAAACGGAACAGAAGAAATAAGAACACCATACTTCTGGTGCAGAAAATCACACAATAGAACACAACATGACACGGGCACTGTGTAGAGCAGGTAGTAACCGCCTTTAAATTCATATTACTTTATTTTTCACACGCAAAAAGCTTAAAATGCGTTGACATGGCACGCCACAATGTCCTTAGAAGTGGCGTGCTATTTATATGCCATTCCATATCATGTTGCTTGAAAACTAGATAATTTGCCAACAAACTGAATGTGATTTTAGTCATTTAGTATCAACACATTTAGATTATAAAAATTATCCAGACATCAAATTCTGCTTTTTGTTTGTGGTTTAAAAATGCCACTGCCCCACCTTTTATTTTGAAAGCAGAAGGAAGGGTCTAACAGAGCGACCCTTCACTTTCAGGTGAAATTGAACAGATGACTCTCTGAATTTGCACTCAGGGGATTCAGACTGCCCAAAGTGAGCACAAGCAGCTTTGATCATTATAAGCATGAGAATCCCTCTTGCATGCTTAAATCATCTGTTAAGCTCACGATTCTGTCCTCTGTCACACACAAATCTAAATCTGCTCTTATAAATTCTGTGCCTGTGTGCTCTTAAAGGTTGACTTGCAGAATGAGTAGCCCTCAAATTTGTTTTGCCCTCTGTCAAATCTTTTGTCGTCAATG